CATCCCAGTCTGGGGTCAGTTGTCTGGGAGGGCAATGCCTAAGTCCTCTTGAGACTGTAGTAGCCAATACTGTTACTGTATCACCGCAGGTGCAGGAGCCTCAAACAGGCTTTTTTGTGAACCATTTAGAGATACACTTGGAGGCATTAATTCCTTGTCAGGATGGCTGGAGGGCAGGGCAGGGCCTCCCTGAGTCCCTGCCATCTGCAGGAGTAGAGGCTGTGTCTGAAAACCCAGCCCTCCAGTTTCCCTGGCCTGTCTCTTCACTGTGCTTCCTTTGCTTCAGTCAGCTCTGGGTACCAGGAAATGATGTTCAGGAAGGAAGGCAGCCTGGGTACCTCTTCCCTGCCAGCATCTTTTCCTCTCCCTGCCCATCTGCTCCCATCCTTCTGTCTGCCAGCATCTTGGAGCTGTTCCCATTCCATTTGCTTGAGTCGAATCCTGAGTGGAGTAGGAGGGGTCAGGCTAAGCCCACTCATTGTCTGGGCTACAGCTGCTCCCAGCAAACTGGTGTCTAGACTGTTTGTAGGCGAAGAAGTAGCGTCTACACAGATGTGATACGCCTGCCTGGTGCTCTCTGGGGAACTGTGGAAGAAAGAGTAGGCCCAGTACCCGAGAGGAAAACAGGATCAGTCTAGCAATACCAACTACTACCAGGCTGCTAGCCCTGGCAAGAACCGTCACCAACTGGAGGGAAGGCATCTAATTACCAAGGTGCAGTGGTGTGTGTGTGTGTGTGTGTGTGTGTGTGTGTGTGTGTGTGTGTTTCTAGTGGTGATGACAGTAAACATAGACACACAAACAATATACATTATTAAAAGCAATGTGGGAAGCACATGTAGGAAATCACAGGACACCGTGAATATGAGACCAGGTGAGAGCCATTGGCGGTGAGCTGTCAAGCTTGGCTTCTCTCAGGAAGTTATGTATATATTGATGATGCCAAGAAGTTAGCCAAGCAAAGAGCAGGGATGCTGGCACATGCTACCATCTGACTTCTCTGTGTTTCTAAAGCCATTTCAGCATGAACTTGTTTGGCAGAGTTCATAGACAGATCTAACCATGGCTCCCACGCCTTCTGTTGAAGCTTTCCAGTTACCAGCAAAGGCTAAAGGAAACGATAGATATTTTACTGTATAGCAGTTTAAGCAGCTACACTTTCATACATGTGGAAGTAAAAAATGGAGGACGGATCAGCTGAGTTCAGTCTCCAAGACTCACATGATAGAAGAAGAAAACTTCTTCCCACAATGACATGTCTGCTATGATGTGTATATACCTACACATACACTCTTTTTCTTAATGGAGAATAAAACAAAGAGAATTAAAAAGAAAGAATACATATCACCAGTAAGCATGTAGAACAAATTCAGCCTCAGACATAAAGGATTATGACCTGCCAAAACTACACAGAGAAACCCTGTCTCGAAAACAAAAAACGAGAGAGAGAGAGAGAGAGAGAGAGAGAGAGAACAAAAAGACAAAGAATTATGACTTTAAAAGTAATAATATCAGGGCTGTCCAGGTGGCTCAGCAGTTAAGAGCACTGAGTTCTCTTGCAGAGGACCTGGCTTTGATTCCCAGCAACCACATGGTTGCTCACCACTGTCTGCAACTCTAGCTGTAGTGGACATGACACCCTCACATGGATATAAATGGCAGGCAAAACACTTACGCACATAAAATAAAAATAATTTTCAAAAAGTAATAATATCCCTTCCGTTACTCATGGAATTGGTGCAGGTTCAGGCCCAACCTGTGATTCCCCTCCCCCATGTGGCTGGCTAATGGCACTGTCATCAGTTGCCATAGCCTTCCTGGGAACAGCTTGCCACTATGTGTCAAACACATTGAAAAAAAAAAAACATTCACCCTGCCAGGCAAGATGGCTCACACCTATAAGCTAAACATTTGGAGGCCTGAGAAAGTATGAGTACAAGTTTGAAGCCAGCTTGGACTATATAGTGTACTCTTAGTCACGATGGGCTAGACACAGTGAGTTTCAACCTGTGGGTCACAACCCCTTTTGGTGGTTGAATGACCCTTTCACAAGGAGTTGCTTAAGACCATTGGAAAACACAGATTTTGCATTACAGTTCATAGCAGTAGCAAAAATTACAGTTATGAGATAGCAACAAAAATAATTTTATGGTTGGGGTCATCACAACATAATTTTTAAAGGGCGACAGCATTAGGAAGATTGAGAACCACTGAGCTAGAGTGAGACTGTTTGAAAAATTAATGAAAATTATAAAAATAAAGTTCTTTACCCCATTTGACCCCACAGTCTTGCTTCTTGGCGTTTATCTCCAGAGAGGGAACAGAATGCCAAGAGCAGTCCCTTTGAGTAGCCATGAGGTTCTTCTGGGTGTGTCCACCTTTCTGAGACACCAGACTCAAAAAGGAATAAGTATTTCCTTGTCTCTTTCTTTCTGGTGCTGGCCAGAACCTAGGTTTGCTTTCCTAGTACTTTGGGCTCCTTAGTGTCTCACATCCCCATCCCATCCGGGGGCTGCTCGCAGTGCGGCTGACCCCCATGCGCTGAAACAGCATGGTGTTATTCCCTCCCCTGCATAGCTGCTATTTACAGTTTGTCTGCCTTGGGGTTTAAACTTTAAAGAAAAAAAGAGAACCAAAATATACAGTCAGACGTGTGACCATAGAAAGAAAACTGAAAGGAAATGGATGTCCATAAAGTAGGGGATAAACCACATCCCAGTGATGCCACTGAAAAAGATGGTCAGTGCAAATCTATTTATTTTTTTCTTCTGTGATGAAGATGGAGCCCAAGGCCTTGGACACTCCAGGCAAGTACTTTGTTTTGTTTTGTTTTGAGAAATTCTTTTCTGTGCAGCCCTGGCTGTCCTAGAACTCTCGGTTGGCCTTTAACTCTCTGTTGCACCAGCCTTTAATCCCAGCACTCGGGAGGCAGAGGCAGGCGGATCTCTGTGAGTTCGAGACCAGCCTGGACTACCAAGCGAGTTCCAGGACAGCCTCCAAAGCCACAGAGAAACCCTGTCTCGAAAAATCAAAAAAAAATAAAAAAAGGGGGGGAGACTAGGTTTGGTGCATGTCTTGTTTTTGTTTTTCTTTTTTTCTTTTTTCTTTTTTTTTTTTTTGGTTTTACGAGACAGGGTTTCTCTGTATTGTTTTGGAGGCTGTCGGTCCAGCCTGGCCTCGAACTCACAGAGATCCGCCTGCCTCTGCCTCCCGAGTGCTGGGATTAAAGGCGTGCACCACCAACGCCCGGCTCCCTCCCCCCTTTTTTTACAGCCTTAATAGGATATATTTCACAAACTATATAATTTTACCAGACATAGGGAGAAACTGCAAAATGGCATCAAAGTATAGTCCATATTTTTCACAGTGATTTATATTACTTTGTATGACACTGGAAACCTGGGAGACACAGAGGCCTGTCTGGAGAACAGGCATCTAGGTGGTGAGTTAGCTTCCGTAGTTTTCATGTTGACCTTTTTTTTAGTGTTGGTGTAGGGAATGCCAATTGCTTGTATTTGGAAAACGAAATCACAAGAGAAGTTTGGTATTCTGTATCTTTCAGCCCTTTAGAGAAGAGCCACTAACATGTCACTAGTCCTCCTACCTGGCTTCCCCTTCCCCTGCCTTCTCACATCAGACTCTCAGCAACAGAGACTCTTGGGAACTTGTTGCTTATAGCCGCTGCACATTTACTTTCATGGTCCCCTCTCCAAGACTGTTCATGCTGTTTTTCTCAGTCCACCCCTGTTAATTTTTCCCTGAGCGTTAGCCTGCACTCTCTGACCTCTGCCTTCTCCCTCTACCTGGGCTCTGTCTCCCCAAGGAGAGCAAGAACTCAATGTTTCTGTTATCTGTCATGAGGCTAATGTCTTCCAGAACCTGATGCTCTGTATTTGCCTTGTCCTGACGTCCTAGAGGGGATGGGTTATCAGGAAAGCTACAACCCCATTAATCGGCAGTCACAGTGACCCTCCCTCATTTCTCACTACCCCAATCCTTTCTTTTCTTTTTTTAAAGATAGTATCTTGGAGCTAGAGAGATGGCTCAGCGGTTGAGAACACTTGCTCTTACAGAGGACCTGGGTTCAAAATACCCATACAATTAAAAGTTAGTATTTATGGGGCTGGAGAGATGGCTCAGAGGTTAAGAGCACTGGCAGAGGTTTTGAGTTCAATTCCCAGCAACCGCGTGGTGGCTCACAACCTTCTATAATATAATAAGATCTGATGCCATCTTCTGGCTTGCAGGCATACACACAGGTAGAACACTGTATACATAGTAAATAAATACATCTTTAAAAAAAAGTGTTCATTATACTGGGCAGTGGTAACACACACCTTTAATCCCAGCAATCAGGAGGCAGAGGCAGGCAGACCTGAGTTTGTGACTAGCCTGTTCTATACGGTGAGTTTCTGTGTAGTCCTGGCTGTCCTGGATTAATTATAAGATTAATTAAAAATAAAAGAAATTCAAGAGCATTCTTGACTACATATCAAAGTTGAGGCCAGTACTTCTGAAACTTTGTGGGCAAGAAGTACCAAGCTCATGTATAAAGGAACCATTTCCCAGGGTCCCCTAGTCCATTGCTTCTTGGAGTTGACTTAGGGAGGCGGGTACCACAGGTCTTTTGGCTGTGAGCTTTGGAGATGGGGGGTCCACTTGGAGAACAGCTGCTCTGGACTGGGGCTTGGTTGCCTGGGCCGTCTGTATAGAGGTTTGTCCTCAGCACCCACAGTCCTGTCTTACTCTCATCCCTTTGGCCCCTTTACAGCAGATGTCCCCACCCTCACTCCCTCTGTGATCCGCAGCTGCTGCCTTCAAGGACATCTGCCATTGTATAATGTGGTTCTTTTGTCCTCAGGAACCTTGGATATTCCTCCTGGTGGGGAGAAGGTGGCTTCAGCAGTGTATAATGTCTGCTCCAGTTAGACTACTGACTGGGTTCAAGTAAGGAACATAGTTGGTTTACTCAATGGAAGGCTCTTTTCTGTCTTGTCCAGAACTGAGAATGAAGCGGAGAGCATCAGACAGAGGAGCTGGGGAAACGTCGGCCAAGGCCAAGGCTCTAGGGAGTGGCATTGCCGGAAATAATGCCAAGAGAGCGGGGCCATTTATCCTGGGTAAGTGTCACCCTGAGGGAGTGGGTATGGCCAAGCACAAAGGCTCTCATTCTGACCTATCAGCAGCAGATTTATTTAGTTTTGAGACAGGATCTCTTTCTGTGTAGACTAGGCTGGCCTTGAACCCATAGAGCTCTGCCTCTCTCTGCCTTTACCTCCCAAGTGCTGGGATTAAAGGCATTTGTTGCTGGAGAGATGGCTCAGAGGTTAAGAATACTGACTGCTCTTCCTGAGGTCCTGAGTTCAATTCCCAGCAACCACATGGTGGCTCACAACCATCTACAATTCAATATGGTGCCCTCTTCTGGCGTGTAGACAGAACACTATATATGTAATAAATAAATCTTAAAAAAAAAAAAAAAGAGGTGTTTGTTGCATGCTTGGCCCTGAACTTCTTATAGAATACTATGGAAATTCTGTGAAATTGAATGTTTTCTGCAGGCTGAGGAGCAGTAGGGCCTTCTGCATGGTGTCTGAGGCTCAGCCAATTCAGGGTATGTTGGCCAGGGCCACAGGTAGTATGGGCTCTGGCACCAGGGGCTTGGTGGGACTTTGGCTTTAGGACAGCCTTCGGGACTTACAAACACTGCCTAGTCCCAACTTCAGACGCCCACAAATAGCTCCTAATGGTGCCTGCTACCAGCAAATAGTCCTGTGCTGTTTGCAGGGGTGTAGAGACTTCAGCTGAGTACTCAAAGGAGATAAACAAGATGGGGCACGTGTGAGGAGAGTTTATGGATAGTGACGCCAGGGAAAGCCTTACTCTCTAGCCCATCTTCCTGCATGAGCTTCCTGAGTGCTCGGGTTACAGGTGTGCAGCACACTGGAAATCCTTTTTGAGGAATGTGTCAGCAAAAGCCAGGTGTATGTCAGACATGTTCACACACATCCTCCTCCATTCTGTAAGAGGTAGAACTCAGGCTGGAGCGATGGCTCAGAGGTTAAGAGCACTGACTACTCTTCCAGAGGTCATGAGTTCAATTCCCAGCAACCACATGGTGGCTCACAACCATCTGTAATGAGATCTGGTGCCCTCTTCTGGCATGTAAGCAGAACACTGCATATGTAATAAATAAATAAATCTTTAAAAAAAAAAAAAGGTTAGAACTCTCCCCTGAAGACTTTGGAGGCAGCCCAGTACATATAAAGAGAACATCTAGTGAGAAGGCCATGGTGATGATGCTATGGAAAATATGCTCATGGCTTTATGTGCCTTAGGTCCCCGCCTGGGCAACTCGCCAGTACCAAGCATTGTGCAGTGTTTGGCAAGGAAAGACGGCACGGATGACTTCTATCAGTTGAAGGTAAGCTCAGGCTGGGACCCTCAGAACCAGGGTTGTCCTAGCAGCTGTCCCTCCTCTTTGCTTTTGCCCCTGCATCACCTATTTCTTCCAAGAAACAATCAAGTTCACAGTCTCACTCAGCCCCTGATTAAAGAGCTTTGTGTGAATTACAGGCTGTGAGGAAAAGCAGCTGCCAGCCATGCATGCTTGTGTGGGGTCGGGCACAGGCATCACACAGCCAGAGTGAGCCTGCTTCCCCTGTCCTGCCGTGCTCCTGGGTAAAGGAAAGCATTTGTTCTTTTTCTTTTTGTGCTTCCCTAAAGATCCTCACCCTTGAGGAGAGAGGGGAGCAAGGAATAGAGAGCCAGGAGGAAAGGCAGGGCAAGATGTTGCTGCACACCGAGTACTCGCTGCTCTCCCTGCTGCACACACAGGACGGCGTGGTCCACCACCATGGGCTCTTCCAGGTGAGTGACTCCACACTGCTCGCCCTGCCACATCTCCTCTGTGAGCAGCTCCCAACACATGACTCCAGTATTCCCTCCCTGCCGGCTGTCAGGACCTGACCAGGGGGCTTTGGAATCGGGCTAGGGCCATGCTGGCTGCTACAGTACCCCATGGTGATTTCAGCCTACCCAGATTGGTCACAAAGGACAACCTACAGCAGCCAGGCTTGCTTGGAAGAGCTGATTTTCTGAGGGAGAAAAGGAAGTCATTTAATGTTTCCGTGCTCTTTCCAGCTATTGTCTAGATTGGCAGACTAGACTGAAAGGCAGAACAAGAAAGAGTTGGGGTCACCTGTGGTCAGTTCTCACAGTGTGACTATATTACAGTCCTGCCTGCCCAGGCATTTCAGGTGGTTCTACAGATGTCCTTGAGCATCAGGCAGGTCATCTCAGGTCTCTGAGCCCTAGGGAAGAATCATAGTGGCACCTGCCCTGAGGCTGGTAGGCAAGGCAGATGCACAGTAGCGCACAGAGGGTGCCTGTGCTAGCCGCTGCCACACCTGTTCATCATCACCATTGTTTCCCTGTCAGTTTGATCCCTGACCAATAAAGCAAGTGGAAAATGCTAATGAGGCTGAACTGCAGCTTCCCAGCCTGGGGATGACAGTAAGATACCCACCCACATGTATACCTGTCAAGGTCTTATTCTTAGACTTGCCATCAGAGGCAACTCCACAAATTGAAGTTGATTTTAGTATCTTGATTCTGGTATCTTTATATACAATTTTGGTGCCTTCAGATGCTTGTCCTTCATTTATATTCTTTTGGATGGCAGAACAGAGGTGACTGAAAGTACTTTGAGTGGTAATCTGTGTGTTGGACGGGCCTAGACCCTGAAGCAAGAAAAGCACAGGTCTGATCTGCTTTTACAGAGAAATCTGGCTATTTCATCCTCCAGGAATTCCCCAGAGGGCTTTGGCTATCTGCTGGCAATGACCTGGCACCTTCTCTGGTCAGCAGGATCCCAGCATAAAGTTGCACCTGTTTTTGTCACACTTGGGATCCCTGCCGTAAGGAGAGTGACTCGGGCTGCAGGCCCAGTGTTGGCAGCTGACCCCTGACTGCTGCAGGCCACAGCTGGCTTATCTACCCTTGACATTAGGGAGGGAGGCCTTGCTCCCAGGCTGTGGGTCCAGACAGTCCAACCATGGCTGCCTGAGGACAGGAAGGCAGAGAATCTGGTAGTTCAGTCCACAAGGCTGGATACTTGTGCAGTCCCAACCTGGTGCTGAAGGCCTGAAGGAGAGCTCCTGGTCTTCAGTGTGTGTTGGAGGCCCAAAGTTAGTTCTAACCCTGGTGAAGGGTTACTGCAGTAGCAGGGCAGGTGGACCTGCCAGCGAGAATGAAGACGAGCAGGCAAAAAGCAGTCCATCTGTCCGTCTGTCCGTCCTCCCCCCCACCCCCCCACCCTCTCGTTTTTGAGACAGGATCTCATTATGTAGTCTTGTTTTTTTTTTTGTTTTTTTGAGATAGGGTTTCTCTGTGTAGCTTTGGAAACTGTGCTAGAACTCCCTGTGTAGACCAGGCTGGCCTCAAACTCACAGAGATCCGCCTGCCTCTGCCTCCCAAGTGCTGGGATTAAAAACATGCACCACCGCTGCCTGGCTTGCTATGTAGTCTTAACCAACCTAGAACTGGAAATGCAGACCAGACTGTCCTCGTACTGGCTTCTGCCTCCTGAGTGCTGGGATTAAAGGCGTGATCCACTGCCTACTCTCAGTTTCCTTTTTCCATGGACTACCACCAGAAAGTGTGGCACATATATTTAAGGTTGATCTTCCTGCTTCACATAATCAGATTAAGAAGATGTCTCGCAAGTACATACGTTGACACACAGAATACGGTGTTGACTCCTGAAGCTTTCTGGGAGTGACCCCTCTTAAACTTCTGGAGTAGTGGCACATGACTTTAATCCCAGCAGATGGATCTCTGTGAGTTCAAGGCCAGCCTGGTCTACATATCAGGTACCAGGCCAGTCACAACCACATAGTGAGACCCTGTCTCCAACAACTGAGAAACAAAAACATCTACAGTCTTGGACATGGATGAAAGTGACATTGGTGATAACTGGAATCTGGGACCATAGTAGGAGGACACCCAAGGCCCTAGTTTGACGGCAGTGGCAGTGGGCTGAGAGGGCTAGGTCAGCCTTAAATGCCCAGGGCTGACCTAGCACTGCTGGCTCCTGCCAGTTTGTTTCAATGATTTGAGTAACCACCTGTGTGTGTACCTCACCAGGGCAGCAGACATTCAGCCACCTCCCTCTGGGCCTTAAGAGGAGGACCTTAACCCCCTGGCCTTGGCCTGTCTCTCCTTGCCTCCCAGGACCGCACCTGTGAAGCAGTCGAGGACACAGAGTCTGGTCGGATGGTGAAGAAGATGAAGAAGCGCATTTGCCTCGTCCTTGACTGCCTCTGTGCTCACGACTTCAGTGACAAGACTGCCGACCTCATCAACCTACAGCACTATGTCATCAAGGAAAAGAGGCTCAGCGAGCGGGAGACTGTGGTCATTTTCTACGATGTAGTCCGGGTGGTGGAAGCCCTGCACCAGGTGAGGCCCAGGGTCCCATGTGCCACAGAAAAGCATCCTTCTGGGCTTCAGCTCAGCAGAAAGATGCTTGGTCCCAACCTTACCAGTGTGCTCTGTGGCGGGGAGTGTCCAAGGGACTAGTGTCTGCTGCCCTGGGCAAGGCAGCCCAGCTGAGCCCCGTGCAGTAATTCCCAGCCACTCAAGAGCTGAATTATAGCCTCCCAGCTCGGGGCTAGCTGTAGCAGACAGTTACAGAAGGGAGGCACTTGCTCCTTGCCCCCCCCCCCCAGGCTGCAGCTTATTGTCTCCATGGGGTGGTTGATGGGGCAAGAAAGAGGAGCTGCACGGGGTGAAAAGCAGCTGAGCAGACTTCTAGGCCACTTCTTACCCTCCTCAGGTGCATGCTTGATAAGGCCCAAGAGACAATCCTAGGGTGTTCCTGCCTTCCCAAACCCTGATTGAAGAGCCTCCACCTTCCAAAACGAACCCCACCCCACTCTTCACTTTCTGGTGCAAAGCATCCCCTCATTGATTTTCAGAAAAACATCGTGCACAGAGACCTGAAGCTTGGGAACATGGTGCTCAATAAAAGGTAAGTGTCCATTCTTCCTCTGTGCAGCCGTCAAGCTGGGCTACGTGCTGCAGCTCCCAGTTCTCTGCAGTGTCCGTGGGATTCTGATTCAGAACAGCCTGGCAAGGGGGGGTATACCAGGAGTTGAGAGACTTGGAAAGGAAAAAGCACTGGCTTTCCCAGTGGAGCAGAGCTGACTGGGTCTTGGAGGGGATGTGGGAGGTGCAACACATTGCTCTCTTGGGCACTGCCCCCTTCAGCCATGATTAAGGCAGTAGTGTAAGGTCTCACGGGGAGGAGGGACTACTCTCTGGGCTGCCACGGTTCTAGAAAGGCGCACTGGGGAGAGGCGCACTGCTTCCCTGAGCTGCCCCCTCCCTTCCCCTTCTGGGTAGGTTAGAGGGCAGAAATGGCAGCAGCACATACTCATAGCACAAGCGTCATGGTGGTCATTTGTTCCGTGATGTGGTTGGTCCAGGAGGGGCCCCATTGTCCTTATACAGTAGCCAAAGTCTCCATGGTCACAGAAAAAGAAGCTGTAGGGAGGCAGGCCACCCAGGGAGGCCAGGGCCAGTCTTAAAGCTGCAGCCTGGTGCACCATTGGGTGGTGCTGTGCAGCAGTGGTTACCTGGTGTGGGGGCTGCAGATTTGTTTCTCGGGTGCATCACCTACCCCCAGATAGGTTGCCATCTGGTGATGGGATGCTGACCAGAAAACAGCTATCACAATACACACCGAGGACAGTGTGGGGCACTGGCTGATTAGGAAGGAGGAGCAAAGGTTTGCCAGCCTGAGAGCATGAAGGGATGAGAACCGAGTGTCACTCTGCAGAGGAGAGGGAAGGAAACAGGAAATTCCAAGGCTGCTTTCACCCCATCTGGCCAAGTGAGGAGTCAGGGAAGATGAAGGGGCAGGATGTGGGGGTCGGACTGGCTCAGAGCCCGCCCTGCGCTGCCTCTTATTTGGAGACTGCTGCTCCGTTTTACTCGTTAAGTGAATTCACCCATGTGTCCAGTTACCATCAGCTTGTTTCTCATCTGTAAAAGTGGAATGATCCCACCTTCCTGCAGCCCAAGGTACAGATAGATGTAAAATTGCCAGGTGGGGGTCGGTGCTTCCTAAATACACCCCTAATGTCAATTCTGAGAGGGAGGACCTGATGGAGTGAGACAGGACAAGAGGCCAGGAGCTCCCACCCCTCAGATGAGGCTGAAGGCCCTGCAGTTCCCCAGGAGAGGAAGGCAGGTGTTAGAGGGCACTGGCCACCTTGACCCAAAGTTGTGGAGAGTATATTATCTTAGGATGACTTAGCACACCAATGTGAAGATTTACACCCTGGTTCTTAGCACTCCAGAAGCCAGAGGCTGGGACATCACAAGTTTGAGGTCAGCCTGAGCTATAGATAATTAGAAAGACCCTGCCTTTAAAAAAACTAGGATAAAGAGAAAAACCTGGGTCCTGTTGGTCCTAGACCTTTTGTGGGAAATTGAAGAACCCATGTCCCAACCAGCTGGACTAGAGAGCCCGGGGTCTTCTTAACAGTTGCTTGTTGACTTGCTGGCTCTCTAGATAAGCATCCCAAGGGTTGTCATGGAAACACGCAGTGGAGCTCCTGCCTATTAACTACACTAGTGTGCATGGCCTCTTTTTCCACTGGTGGTTTTGCTTCTCTCCCTCCTCCTGGCCCCCAGTGCTGCAGGTCTGAAGGTGCACCTCTAGAGTACTCTGCATACCTCTTAGACAGATTCCAGCTCCTTTCACTTGAGTACCAAGACACTCGGAAAAGCACACGGAGACATAGCATGGAAAGCCCTTCACATTTCCAGTTCATCCTTGGCATGCCAGCCCTTTCCCACCCACCCTGCCAGGCTCTTGTGCTAAGCAGTGAAATGCAGACAGAAGGACGAGAGCCCCCAGGACGGAGATGGGAAGAAGCAAGGGCTGAAATCTGAAGTCCTCTGTGGGGTTATGTGAGGCTGGCTGTGGGTTCCTTCTTCCTCTTTCATCTTGGGTAGGCAAGTTGCATACCAGTTCCTAGAAAAGCAGAGCACTGTGGTAGCCCAGGGGCCATAGCTGAAGTGTGACTCACTCAAAGCAATCCCTGCTGACGCACATCGCTCTGCCACCCCTCAATGCCCTTGCCCTCCTGTCAGGACCAGCTGGGGGGTCTAGGACTCCTGGGGAGCTCTCTGCCACCCTGCCAACGTGGGTGGTGGCGGCAAGGCAGCCAAGCATTAACAAACTTTCCTGTGGGAAAGACTCTGGGTACCTCAGTGGCAGAACAGCCACCACAGGCAGAGGGCTGGGCGGCCTGCTGGCAGGACCTAGAGCAATACAAATGCATGTGCTCCAGGGCCAGTTGTCACCCATGTCAGAGACAGCGTCTTTCCTAGGCTCTCGCAGGCACGCCAGCTGGCAAAGAATGGAAGGCTATTGACAGCTGCCTCTGGCAAGCCTGGAACTCTGTGCCCACGGTGCCTAGCTTTCTACCTAGTCAGATCCAACCGATCCTGAGAGTCAGGCTTTGCCATTTTCCCCCTCAATAGAAAAGCACATTCGAGTTTAGCAAGAGGTTCACACAGCAAGGACATGGCAGAGGCAGGATCGCCCCAGCTCAAGCAATCCTCCCAGCATCCCAAGCCTCAGAGACCACAGGATACATCTGTGGCCACAGTGGGCAGCACAGAAAGCCACGCTGTTGTGTAAAACCTTACAGTCCTGTGACACAGGAGGCTCACAACTGGAATGTTTGCATGCTGACATACAGATGATCCTCGCTGAGACCCTTGGTCTACATTCGTAGGCTCTGTTCTGCAGGCTACCAGGCAGGCTTTTGTAGGGCATCTTGGGTAAGAGCTGGAGCCCATGTTTCCATTGGGCATGTGGAGGACAGACTGGCCTTTGTTTGTGCCAACCCCTTTGCCAGCAGAATTCCCTGAGGTAGCTGAAGTGCTCTCAGAGGCTCTTGGATGCAGCTCCTGGGGAAATCCACTCGCAGACACATACCCTGCCCTGGAGACTGTTCTAGAAAGAGGTGTACAAAGCCCCTCATTGACCATCTCACAGCAGTTACCATGCTCAGCCAGTAAGCACAGGCCAGTGCACTTAGGGAAGAGACACTCCTCACTGATGCACCCCTAGGTCCTCTTGGCAAGGGCCACCCTCCCTTACACCCCCAGCTGTAGTGGGAGGACCATACCATGTGCTTCCTAGAAAGGTTCCAAGCCCAAAGCTGCCTGCTTGATGACTCTTGGAGCAGAGCCAGTTTTTCTAGGCCAAGGCACTCTGAAACCCAAGTTAAGAGATGAGTCAGCCTAGAAGAAAGGAAGGAAGGAAGGAAGGAAGGAAGGAAGGAAGGAAGGAAAAGTCTTTTGGGGGCTGGTCTCTTCCCAGGATGCTCTGGGGCCTAACAGACCTGTGCTTAGATCTACCTCCCAATTTTTCCAAGCTGTGTGAGCTTAGGCAGATCCCTGTACTTCTAGATCTTAGTTGTACCATCTGATGTTAGGTATTGAAAAGTCTCCCTCATAAGCTGCTGTGGGAATAGCAGTCCGCCTGAGTCCTGGCAAAAGAACAGAAGTGCTGTAGGCCCCAGAGCTGGCTCTGCGTATTTTCTGTGCCACCCATTATTTCCTTCACAACAGCTGAACACCATCCGCTTGCCTCAGCTCCCCTCCTTATGTCAGGGGCTCTCCAGGGAGGCTGGCCCAGCTTACTAAGTGACTCTTGCCCACTCTATGGGAGCCACATTCCTCATTGATGGCAGGGTTCCCTCTCAGAGGCCTTGCTGCTCCTAATGAGAGCATCAGGCGCCTCCGCTGTTCGTGACACTGCTAGGGTTCCTAAGTTTTGGCGATAGGGCTGCTGTGCACAAGCCCTGGCTTTGACCCCTAGCACTAATGGAAACAAAACAACTACAAAGGTTGTTGGAAATAGACAACATATTGTCTCGTGGGTGACTCTGACATGTGTCTAAGCCTGTGTGCATGATGCCCATATAGCAGAACCCCAACATGGCAGAGCTTAGCCTTGGCAACGTCACCAGCTGACAATGCCTTCCCTTTCCTGGAACTCTGTTTGAGGCCTTGAACCAGTAAAGACCAAGACCTGCATTGCTGGCCACCTCCTAGCCATGGGGTTCAGAGCTAGCCAGCCAGCACCAACACAGTGTGTATGCCCTCCCATGAAGCAGGAGCAGTTCTCTACCCTCCCAGTGCTGAGTATCTGGGTGGCTTTGGCCTACAATGGGTTTAGAAAGAGTGGTTGGAATGGTTAATTGTACCATTGCTAAGTCCATTCCCATTCTGAGGACTGAGAAAAGAGATGACACTCACCTAATTAGATGGATGCCAAGGAGACCTACTTCCCCCCAATCCCTAGAAAAGATAGGCTAGAGGCAGGGAAGATAGTTGAGTTGGTTAAGTGCTTGCCAGGCAAGCGTGGAGGATTTGAGATCAGATCCTTAACATAAAAAGCCAGAATGGCATGAGCACAGGGAAATAAACAAGAGGATCCCTGGGGCTTGTTGGCCAGGTAGGTTCACCAGATTGGTGAGCTCTGGGTCCAGCAAGAGACCCTGTCTCCAAAAATAATGTAAAGGCCAGGCGGTGGTGGCACACACCTTTAATCCCAGCACGTGGGGGACAGAGGCAGGCAGATCTTTGAGTTTGTGGCCAGCCTGGTCTACATAGAAAGTTCCAGAACAGCCAGGGCTATGCAGAGAAACCCTGTCTTGGAGGGTTGGGAGGAAGCCAAACAAATACATGCAGGCAAAACACCCACACACATAAACCAAAAAATAAATAATGATGTAGAGAGCAATAGACACCAGCTGTGACATTGGGCTTTCGTAATACAACATGTACACACACACACACACACACACACAGAGAGAGAGAGAGAGAGGGAGAGAGAGAGAGAGAGAGAGAGAGAGAGAGAGAGAGAGAGAGAGAGAGAGAGAGAGAGAGAGAGAGAGAGAGAGAGAGAGAGAGAGAGAGAGAGAGAGAGAGAGAGAGAGAGAGAGAGAGAGAGAGAGAGAGAGAGAGAGAGAGAGAGAGAGAGAGAGAGAGAGGCGCTGTCAACTGGGGGGTGGCATGGGATCAGCTTCCACCCTCCACCAGAGCATGTGGGGACTTCCCATGGGACAGAATTCCCATGTGAGGCCCAAGCCTGGTATAGGGGCTTCCTGCTGAGAAGATGCCTGTAGTGGTGAGGGGGGAGCTCAGGACCTGCCCACTGGCCACAGCGCAGTGAGCCGGGAATTAAGGGCATTCATGTCTGCTGGTCTTTTTCCTGCATGTGGGAATTCGGGAAATCATGTTGAAGTTGTGGGCTACTCCCAATCTTGAGTATTGGTGAAAACCCCTGGGATTTGTTCCAGCTCTGAGCTGTACCCTGACATTGAGCCAGAGCAGCAGGTTAAGGGAAGGCGGCTGCTGTCCACTTGAAGAGAGAAGTCTGGATGCTTTTATTTAGAATAGGGACCTGACCCAGCAGGGTGCCTGGCTCTGCTGCCTCTGTGATCACTCTCTGCCTCCCATTCTTAGGACCCATCGGATAACCATCACCAATTTCTGCCTTGGGAAACACCTTGTGAGTGAGGGGGACCTGCTGAAGGACCAGAGGGGGAGCCCTGCCTACATCAGTCCTGATGTGCTCAGTGGTATGTGTAATCCTTGGACAGATGGTAGCCTGTGGCTACTGAGCCCACGCCAGTCCTGACCCACCCTGTACAAGATCTCTGGTCTAATGGTGGAACAAGACAGACTGGTCACATGCCCAGTTAGAGCGATGAGAGAGAGAGAGATGGGCATTCCAAAAGAGCATATGAGGGCACTAAGAGATCTTTCCCAAGGTGTGGCACTTAAGCTGCAATGTTAAAAACTAGGAGCCCAGCTGTGTGAGCATGGTACCACACATCTGGTACCCCAGCATTCAAGAGGCAGAGGCAGGAGGATCTTGAATTCTAGGCTAGCCTGGGCCACATAATAAGCCCCTATCTCAACACTCCTGTGCCCAAATAAAGCCATACTACTATCCTAAGGACAATGTCACAAAACCCATTTTTACAGATAAGGACACTAAGGCTAAGATGACCTGTTTAGCGCCTTCAAAAATTAGTAATAGGTTTCACTGTGACATTTTCATTTTTTTTTTAAAGATTTATCATGCATACACTGTTCCTGCTTGGATGCCAGAAGAGAGCACCAGATCTTATTACAGATGGTTGTGAGCCACCATGTGGTTGCTGGGAATTGAACTCAGGTCTTCTGGAAGAGCAGACAGTGCTCTTAACCTCTGAGTCATCTCTCCAGCCCTACATTTTCATTTTTATGCATGTATATCAGCATGCTTTGTTCCTATCTGCCTTCCCATTCCTCTTCCATAGCTCTCTGTTGCTCCTCCTGCTTTCATGTTCCATGTGTCCCTTTCCCAGTCCCCCTCCCTGTCATGGGGACGTGCAGACCATACCACTGACAAGGTTGATGAAGCAGTGAATGTGCAAAGCCAGGCTGGGGGCCCAGGCAGTGAGCACAGTAGATGACACCTGTGTCAGATGTACTGACGGCCCGCCCGCTCTCTGAGCTGCCGTGGGAGCTAGCTCCCAGTCTCCTAAGCTGATGGAGAAGAGCAGGGCAAGGTGGGGGGGGGGCTGTACACGCTCAGGCGTCATCCTGGGGAGCAGGGAACTGGCAAGCATGCAAGAGCTCAAGAGACTGCGCTGTGCTTGCCCTGGGAGTCAGAATGGGAAAAGGGCCAGGCGTTGGTGGCACACACCTTTAATGCCAGCACTCGGGAGGCAGAGGCAGGTAGATCTCTGTGAGTTCGAGGCCAACCTGGTCTACAGAGCGAGTTCCAGGACAGCCTCCAAAGCAATACAGAGAAACCCTGTCTCAAAACAAAAAAAAAAAGAATGGGAAAAGGACCTGAAGCAAAGATGGGATTTGGAGTGAGTAGCTGCCCAGGTTCATCAATCTGAGTGCGAGTGAGTGTGCATGTGCTTTGTCCCCAGGCCGACCGTACCGGGGCAAGCCTAGTGACATGTGGGCCCTGGGTGTGGTTCTCTTCACCATGCTCTACGGCCAGTTCCCATTCTACGACAGCATCCCACAGGAGCTCTTCCGCAAGATCAAGGCTGCGGAATACACCATCCCTGAGTGAGTCCTGCCTCCTGGGAGGGGTGGAGAAGGGATCACAGGCCCTCTGGGATTTCAGTGAGGAGATAGCAACAGCACTGGGGTCACCCTGCTGAGGTTCCTTCCTCTTCCTCCCTGTCCAGGGATGGGAGGGTCTCTGAGAATACAGTGTGTCTTATCCGGAAACTGCTGGTCCTTGACCCTCAGCAACGGCTGGCCGCTGCGGATGTCCTAGAGGCCCTCAGTGCCATCATTGCATCTTGGTAAGTGAACCTGCACAAAGCCAGGAGCTCAACTGCTGTCCCCCTGCCTGCCAGACATGCCAGCTGTTCTGGGTCCTAAGCTGCACTGACTCGAGACAAGTTAGCAGCAGCAGGACCTGTCTAATGTGACATGTCCTTCTTCCCGGCAGGCAGTCCCTGTCCTCTCTGAGTGGGCCTTTACAAGTGGTTCCTGACATTGATGACCAAATGAGCAACTCTGACAGCTCCCAGGAGGTGAGTGTGGAGAGGGAGGCGAGGGCAGGTACGTGCAGGGCTTCTTCCTCAGCCTTGGCAACAGAAAGATACTGTGGCCTTGCTTGTGTCCTGTCCATCTGAGGTCCCCAGCCTGAGAGAGAGAGAGACATGAACACAGTGAGCTCCTGGGAGGCCCCAGTGCCAGGCAGCCACCTGGGCCTCTGCTAGCTTCCTCTTCCTGTCCAAGTCCCATTTCTCTCCGCGTCTGACTCACTGGGTTCTCTCACCCTTCCTGCTTTTCTTTTTTAGATGATTCATTTGTCCCTCTTCTCTCCTCCCTGCTCCCTGCACTGGAGAAAGTGCTAGGCCACGGGTGGGGACAGAGACAGGAGTGCCAGTCAGCAGCTGTAGGTGGTCTCAGAGCACCCCCAACAGGGAAATTGGACCTGAGCTTTATAGGGACCCTCCCTTGGAGCTCCCTAGCAAGCAGTAGGCAAAAGACCAGGAAGGGCCTTGCCTGGAAACCTTCGCCAGCTCCCATTAGTCCACCCTAAGACCTGTGGGGCATAATTTTATCCCAGTGACAAAGGAAGAGCCCGAGAATTGAAGAAGTGGAGTGATGTGCCCACAGTCACACACTTGGCAGCCCGGGAACTGTGCCTTGGCTCCGCTAGTCAGGACCTGCCACTGCAGTCTGGATTGCACAGGAGGGAACTGAGCTTGAGGCTATGGCTGGAGAGCGGCTCTGCTCTCAACCCTTGGCATGCGTCAGCCCGTCGGAGCTTAGAGACCCCTTTGTGGGGAGACACCTGTACCCCCACCCCCATTCACATTCACACCCCACCATGGGTGAGGAATGCAATCTGGAAGGTAGAGATGCGGTCAGAAGACAAGGTTGTGTGCAGCTGCAGCCTCCTACAACTCCCCACATCAGCCAGCAAGGTGAGGGCCAGTTGGCTGGAGGACCTCAGGGCCCTACACTTAGCCTCTAGGGAGGTGGAGCCTGAATTGTGGTGCCCGGGAAGCATAACGTCAGCGGCCAGGCTGCCCAGCCCTGGCTCCCTGTGCTCTGTCTTCAGCTTGATCTCTCGGTCTCACAGGCAAAGGTAACAGAGGAATGCTCCCAATACGAGTTTGAGAACTACATGCGACAGCAACTGCTACTTGCTGAAGAGAAAAGCTCCATCCATGAGGCCCGGACATGGGTACCCAAGCGGCAGTTCGGTAGCATGCCACCAGTGCGACGGCTGGGCCATGATGCCCAGCCCATGACTTCCTTGGACACAGCCATCCTGGCACAGCGCTATCTGCGGAAATAGTGCCCTCAGCTAGGGCACCAGCCCCAGCACACCCTTCCTCAGCCCCGCCATCCAGCCCAGGCCCAGCCCAGCAGTACTGGACTGAATCCTAGGCTGCTACAGGGACAGGGCAGGGATAGGGATAGGGACAGCCCAGGTCACAGCCAGGGTCAACAGAGGTACCACAAAGCTACCTTTTGGGATGATTGCTTGATTTTTTTTTTTTTAAATCTGAGAATTCTAGATACCTGATCTGCTTTTAATCATGACATTTTAATCTACCTCTGTCTATCTAACCACGCTGTCTCTGGACCGAGTGCCGGGAGGAAAGAGGGGAGCCTATGCTCGCCATCCAGGCCCTGGAACAGCTACAGCCTGGCCAGGCCACTGCTCCCCACAGTCCATATAAGCTGACCATGCAGCTCGCTACTGGCCCCCAGTAAGCACCCCTTCCCACTGTCCATGTCCCACTACTACCCCCTTCCCAGGGCCTCAGTCTAAGCTTTGGAACACTTCCACCTCATCTTCCGCCCAATTCAAATATATTTATTTTTTTACTGAACCCAACTTCTCTGCCCCCCAGCCCGCTGGATAATGGCTCCCTTCTCACCCCCAGGCTCCTAGGAGTTCTCTTGCCAGTTCTCTGCTCTCAACCCCCGGGCCCTCTGTCTACACTTGGCTCTTTCTTTGTCTCAGTAGCTTCCCTGAGGTGCTTCATCCACATTAGCCCTGCCTCCTCCGTCCTTCTCGGGTACCCAGGTAACATGGACATGGTGTGAAGGGACCTGTGGCCAGCTTTGGAGGATGCTCTGGGCCTGCACGGGACAGGCCACTTATGCTCAGAGACCCTCCCACCCTGTCTCAGAAGTATCTCTCCCAACAGACCCTGGGCAGATGCCTACCCAGGGGTGGAAGACTTGGAGGAAACCTGTGGGGATCGGGGACCTACCTGGCTTGAGAACAGCCCTGCTATCCTTTTTGAGCCGAAATTTTGAAGTGGATGCCCGTCTTGCCAGAAATGCTGTTCTCTCCAGAATGCCCCTTCCTGCACTGGACTTGGCACACCCAGTACCAAGCAAAGACCCAATTCTGGAGGCCTACACCCTGTGTACCCTCAGAGAGGGTGATGTCCCCCCCTGGCAGTCCTAGACCGTTTCTGCCTCTTGCTCTCCAAATGGGGGAGACCATGTTTCTTAGAGTGTGAGCTGCCCCTCTCCCCCTGAAAAGCTGACTCACTGTGAGTGACCTTGGGCAAGTTCCCAAAAAAAAAAACCTCCTTGTGCCTCAGTTTCCCCATCTGGAAAAAATGGGGCCACCTCTTGCCAGCAGTAGCAGGGCCGCCCATGCCCCTTCCTCCCCAGACCCCTCCCCCCATCCAGCCCTGGGCGCCTGTGCCTCTGTTTTGCTGGGTCTGCAGGAACCCACCTGAGCCCAGCACTTCCCTTAGTACCCAGCCTTGCCTCTGATTCAGCCATCCAGCCACTGAGATCAGGGCATGGTGCTGGGTGGGGGGAGGGCTCTTTTCTATATTTATTTGATAACAAAAAGTCTCCTAAGGGAGTAGAAATGCAGTCAACCTGGGCTTCAGCCCATGATTGCCCTCCAGTGAGGCTCTGTGGCCTGGTTAAGGGCCCTCCCGGGTGGAGCCCCTGCCTAGTGTCTCAGGCCTGCATTCACAGCCCTTTTAAAAGCAATACCTTCAGGTCTGCAGAGCCCATCAGACAGCCTGGTTCCTGCCAAGGTCAGCCCTAGGTCTGATGGTATTTCTGGCAATGCAGATGAGAGGAGGTTGGGCCTGCCCTCACTGGTGTCACACACTGAGAAGTCCTATTGTAAAGAAAAAAACAAACAAAAAAAACAAAAAAACACAAAATGGAAAAAGTCACAAAAAAGTTTGTATAAAGACGTATTTTTGTACTACATGGGGACTCTTCCTGCATGTCAGCAATAAAACTTCCTGATCTGGAGCCACCATGGCCTGAAGCAATGCCTCTGTTCTTGTCCTCAATCAAGCCTGCTATCTCTAACCCAGGAAGGCAGGTGTTGTGTCTCTGGGCCCTGCCAACAGGTGCACAGCGACCTCCAGCCAGCAAGTAGTTAAGTCGTGCTGCCAGAAGCAGGAGGGGACCGGAATATCCTGCCTCCTGCCAGTGCCCAGTAGGAGCTTCTAGCTTGGTTTGGCTCTGCTTCTGCCCACTATAGGCAGAAGAGTAGCAGGGCCTTGACAACTGGAAAGCCATCGGCCCCCTCTTTACGAAGTCCTGTGTCAGAGGCAGCCATGGGCCCACACGCCTGTTCCAGAGAGCTGGTGTAAGGAGCTAGCCCTCTGTACTGCCCTCTCCTCCTTGGGAAGCCCAGGGGTGCCTGCCTTCCTTCCTCCTTCCGTTGCCTAAATTTAGACTGCAGAATGTACTTCCCAGCAAAGCCAAGAAGCAGCAAGCACTCCCTGGTGAAGGGAGAGGTAGGCTAGACCATCCCTAGTTGGGCAAGGGAGAAAACAGGCACCACAGCAAATGAAGCCTCTCCCAGACGGGCCTGATGCTCATGGATGCTCTGCCTTGCCTCTTCCCCGCAGCCTATACATGACATACATGGATGGACCCCTGCTCTGTCCAACTCAGGTGCAATACCATGAGACGCCTTTCTCTCCTCCACTGTCAGCTGCTGCCCTGGACCTGGCCTCCACTCACAACCTCTCCCTTTGGCTACAGACGTCTCTGTGGCTGTCTAGGTCTCCCAGTTCAGTCTGGCACCCACCTGGTGCTCAGAACCTCCTCGGTTGTTTTGTTTTTGCTTTTAGCAGTTAAGACAAGTCAGTCCTATTTCTTCAGACATTATGCTTTCTTTTTCAAGAAATTTTTCATCTTTTAAGTGTATGGCTGTTTTACCCGTATGTATATCTGTACCACTTGTGTGCCTGGTGCCTACAAAGACCAAAAGAGGGAACCAGATCCCTGGAATGGGTGTTAACAGGTGATAGTGAGCCCGTGTGGGTGCTCAGAACTGAACCCCGGTCTTCTGGAAGAACAGCCAGTGCTCTTAACCTCTGAGCCTCTCTGGTTTACTGATTTGTACTGGACTATTTGTCCTTTACGAATCTTCAGGTTTTGTTTCTTTTTACCAACTATATAATAAGCAAGCTGAAATTTCTCAATCCAAGAGCACAGACCACCTGATCCCAGCTTTCTGTCCATCTTTCTGTCTTCATTCCTTTGCAACACACTCATCCCCAGCCCAGTCTCCTACCCCGGACAGTCCAGGTGCCACAGGGACCAGAGGAGCCATCTAAAACTTAGGTATAGCCTGGTGCATATACCCAAGATCTCTAGTTTCTGTGATTTAGACAGCGGCCTGGTCTACATGGTGATTTCAGGTCAGTAAGGATAACATACTAAAGCCGGGGGATGGAGCTTGCCTAGCACACATGAAGCCTAGGTTCAGTCCCCAGAACTACATAAACTGGTCCCATCCCTGTAATGCCAGCATTGGAAGTAGAGAGTCATGAGGATCAGAAGTTCAAGGTCATCCCCAGAGGGATGTCTCAAAAACAAAAATTTAACTGCTTTTGATCAAAATACTCTATTAACGTACAAAATGTCAAAGGAAGGGGTCAGAGAGATGGCATGGCAGTTAAGAGCACTTAATGCTCTTGCGGAAGTCCTGAGTTTGGTTCCCAGTATCCACATCAGGTGGCTCATGGCTGCCTTTATCCAGGCCCAGAGGCTACAATACCCTCTTCTGGCCTTTGCAAGCACTACACACACATAGCAGACACATATACGTAAATGTGTTTTTCAGAAAACAAACTAAAGTCAGGTGGGGGCACACACCTTTAGTTCCAGCACTCAGGAGGTATAGGCAAGCTGATCTCTGTGAGTTCAAGGCCAGCCTGGTATACAGAGTGAGTTCCAGGACAGCCAAAGCTATACATACAGAGAAACAAGAAACACCAAATAAATAAAACTAAGAAAACAGGGTTGGAGAAATGGCTTAGCTGTTAAGAGTACTTGTTCTTACAGAGGACCCAGGGTTGATTCCCAGCACCCACGTGGTGGCTCACAGTTGTCTAAACTCCAGCTCCAGGGGAATTCTTCAGGCACCAGACAGGCAGGCAGTGGTACACAAACATACATGCAGGCAAAACACTCCTGCCGTAGAGATAGTGTTAGGCGTCCTTTGCTATAAGGACCAGGACCAAAAGCAGCTTGGGTTTTGTGTCATTTCACCTTTGTACTCCATGGTCAAAGGAAGCCAAAGCAGGGACCCGGAGGCAGAAACCGAGGGGAAGCCGTGGAGGGAAGCTGCTTTTTGGCTGCTGTTGTTTTGTTCTGAGACAGGGTTTCCGTTTTGGCTGTCCTGGAACTAACCCTGTAGATCACACTGGTCTCGAACTCACAGAGATCTACCTGCCTTTGCCTCTCAAGTGCTGGGATTAAAGGCGTGCGCCACCACTGCCCGGCTCAGATTGTTTTCCTCTACTCCCCAGGACTACCTTCCTAGGAGTCACACTGCCCACAGTGGACTAGGCCCTTCTGTATCAACCAATCAAGAACAACCCCCGCCCCCCCTTACAGGCCATCTGATGAAGGCATTTCTTGGTTGAGGTTTCTACTTCTAAAATGACTCCTGCTTATGTCAACAAAAACCTAGTCAGTACAACTGTCCACACAAACACATCACAAACCATAACCGTTCTTTTCTTGTTTATCTCCAAGAACCTAATTTTTTGGTTTTTTTGTTTTGTTTTGTTTTCGTTTTTCGAGACAGGCTTTCTGTGTAGCTTGAGCCTGTCCTTACTGATGGCTTCCCTTGCCATGCTCTTCCACCACCAACCCATGTCAGTAAGACTCAGCTTCCTTAAAGCCTTCACCCCATGTCCACTCTCTGGAACTCTACCTGGTTCCCGTATGTTCAGTTAGTGATCACTCCTTCCCTACTCAAATCTCAAAACCCATAATTGGCAGCAGGAAAATCTTTGGGTCTACACAGAGAACTGGGAATTTTTGTTCTTTTTTTGTTGTTGTTGTTGTTGTTGTTTAAAGATTTATTATGTATACAGTGATGTATCCCTGCATGCCAGAAGAGGGCACCAGATCTCATTACAGATGGTTGTGAGTCACCCTGTGGTTGCTGGGAAGTGAACTCAGGACCTTTGGAAGAGCAGCCAGTGCTCTTAACCTCTGAGCCATCTCTCCAGCCCGTTTGTTCTTTTTATTTTTTTGAGACAGGCTTTTTTCTTTGTGTAATAGTCCTAGCTGTCCTAGAACTTGCTTTGTAGACTAGACTGGCCTCAGACTCACAGAGATCTACCTGCCTCTGGATCCCAAGTGTAGGCATTGTGGGCTACCACTGCTGTGCAAAGTGGGGGGAATTTGTATTTTATGTTGTTTAGGACTCTAATTAATCACAACACACAGCACCCCTACAGCAATGTTCCAGAAACAGTCACACACATGACCCACTTAACAATGACCACTGTAGTTTTTAGTTATTTACTTACTTTTCATGTCTATTGGTTTTACCTGTATGAGGGTGTTGGATCCCTTCGGAACTGGAGTTACAGATGGTTGTGAGCTGCCATTAGGGTGCTGGGAATTGAACTTTGGTCCTCTAGAAGAGCAGCCAGTGCTCTTCACCAATAAGCCATCTCTCCAGCCCCGGCACATGCCATTTTTATGTCACAGGACAAGATGAGTTGGTACACCAGCTGGGTTTCATTTCCAGATCACGAGCAGCCCAGCAGGAAGCACCCAGAAAGGTGCTGAGTGTCTTACCATGACAGACTCCTCCGCAGTAATGTCTCCACACAAGTTCAAAGCCGCCAGGCTCCACTACTCATACCTATGTGGACCTCCAAGCAACATAACGTCTCTAAGCCTTGTCTTCCTCTGTCAAATAGAAGCCACATTATAAACAGAACAGGGAATGACAGGGACAGAGGGCATTTCGAATATACTACCATTCCCCTTCCCTGAGCAAACTTTTCTCCAGGATCCCATCCTAGCCAGTGGACCAGGTGCTGGGGGGCATGGCAACACTGAGAAACTGGACAAGCTGTAGGAGGTCCTGAGTGAGTCCCTTTTCCCCACCTCTCTAAGACCATGCTCTTAGAGTAGGGGAAGCCTCAGTGTGGCAGACAGGAGTCAGGGCCGGCCCCAGGGGCTGAAATGGGCAAGGACAAACTCCCTGATGGAGGCCTCTTCCAGTCTGGGTTCCTCAGGCACCTAACCTGCCAAGACCTGCCTTTCCTGTTCCTCTCTGGGCCTTCCAAGAGACAAATCACTGATCTCACAAGCAGATGGGAAGACACAGATGGACCAGCCAGAGGAAAGTGGCCAGGCAAGTAGAAGAGTCCTGGTCAAGCAGTCTAGCAGGAGGCAAGCTAGGTGGGCAGACATGAGTTTCCAGCCACGGGAGAGACGAGGTGCCGGACAGAATTATGGCTGCAGAGGCAGGCAGCTGGCCACTGTGGATGGCCGCCTCAGCCAAAGGCTTTAGTCCTCCTCCAGAACGTTCAATGGCTCCCTACTCCTCAGCCACCAGGGCCACAGTGTCACTTGCCATGCTTGCCCACCAGGAGCTGGTCGTAGACGGTAGCATTCCAGTAGCATGCATCCCTCTGCAGGGTCCAGCAACCATCTCAACCCTTCCTTTATTTCAGCATAGCCTCTGTTTCCCCAAGGCTGAGTCAGTCTAGCCCAGATATGGACACACATGTGCCTACAGGCAGACACAGATCCAGGCACAGTGATGCAGACGACGTTGCAGAAAGAAGCCCATCTCAATCTCACACCATCTTCCTGTGGACCCCCAGGGAACAGATGTGTGCCACACAAGCGACTCCGCCATACATAGTTATACAAGCTAAGCCGCAGCATGCACTCACACTAACAGCTCCATGATCCGCAGACCATGATTTTCAATACATTCCCAATACTAGTTATTGTGTATGTGTCCAACTAGCCAGGCACACACATGCCTTGGAGCAGGAATGAGCCCATGGTCGTCCATGGGCATCACTGACAATATTGAAATGTTCCATTCTGGTCTTTACTCTCAGCCCCATATAACCCAAAGGGTCACACCTTTGCTGTTGAGGATTCCCTCCTCCAGAAGACCCCTCAATGTCAGTGTTCAGGGCTTAGGCTTTAGAGGGACTCCCTTTTTCCTGTTCTCTTGAACTGGGTGGCCCAGCTATACCCAGGATGTTAAACTCATCTTGTCTCTCCTTGCTGGAAATGGTATTTGGGAGCTGAGGCTACATTTGCCTCTCTAACACCCACACCCAGGTATCTATGGGTATTGTGAATATGAAATCTAAAATTCAACTCTGACCCCTTGCCCCCTGGAAGAAAAAAAAGACCTAAAAAACAAAACACATGCTGCCCCCAAGTTGCACAGACCCAAACTCAAGGCTAAATTCCTCTTCACTCAAACCAGCTCCACACAGGAACTCCCTTTAGGACACCACCGGCCTTCCCCTCCTGTTACTCTGGGTTAAGCCCAGACCACTGCTTCCCTGAACACCTGCTCCCGGTTCTCTCTGCCCCCCTTCTTGCCCCACTGTGGCCAAGCCTACCTTGATCCACTTGAAGGGTCTTTCCAGAGTGTGGTGTGGTTATTAATTAGAACCCCAGGGGCTTACCAATTCACTTACAAATGACATCCAAGCTCCTTAGCGGGCAGCAAAACCTCCTGTGTGGCCATTGACACTAGCTCTCTGCAAGCCAGGGACTCCACTCCTGCCCCGATCCCTTGTTCTTTAGATCTCGGCATGGGTGCCCTTTCCTCAGGACTCAGCCCTTACCTGGGGTGTTCCTGTGAGCTGCCCAAGATGCTCCCCATCACATTAATGGATTCCATCACATCCTCAGCACCTCTTGGCCTCTAAGGGTGCCTGCCTCCTAAGGACTTGTAACCTCTTTACTCTGAATCTCCATTCTTAGGAGGGGCCAGGCATCTACTAATGGGGGTGGGAGGCTGTGGGGGAGCTGTTCTCATCCCACAGTGGAATGCTGAAGCAGCATTATGTGCAAATAGCTAAGTATACACGGGCCAAGAGGCTTCTATCTGCTCACAAAGCAGACTAAACAACCACAAATACACCCAGGTGCGAGTTGGCTCACTCCTTTCTCCATCTCTTCTTGCCCCCTGCTTGAACCCAGGCTGGCCTGGGGGAGTCGGGAGGTGGGGTGGGGGAAGAGTCCTGCAGCTTGAACAGGGAGGGGGTTAATGGCTCTCAGGCAGCGCCTACAGCTATGCCTGCAATTTCCTCTCCCCATTCTTTCCCTCCCCGTTACCAAGATTCCCGCCAAGAAGGCCTCCCCCTCACCCCAGATCCCAGCTTGGGGGTGGGGGAGGTGGCCAGACGACTAGGCAGAAAGAAAAGCCCAGCTGCAGATCCCCCAGCACGCTTCGGTACAAGTCTTGAGCCCAGGTGGGAGCACAGGTGTGAGTCTGGGCAGGTCCAGCGGGCAAGGCAGCTAGGACGTTCCATGAGCTTGCAGAGGCAGGGGCCCCGCGGGGGTCTGCAGTGCTCTGGGGCCTGGCTCACCGCCGAGTTCTACAATCATTAACCTTGGGTGACCACAGCAGCTGGACACACTCAGCCAGGCCACTGGCAGGAGGGGCCCAAGAGTTCCTCTCTCTTCCAGGAGGACCAATGAGGACGGCTGACACCACTGCGTCTACGAAAGGGCTCCAGGAATGAACCGGTTTGCAGCCACCCCCATCATAGGAGGAGCCAGGCACAGGGAAGTAGTTTGGAGCCTGCGCCCTACGGCCAGAGTGTTGTGGGTTCAAATTCTGACCATGTGGCAAAGTTCTTCTAACTCGGGTTACTTCATATGCAAATTGGAGACTCAATGATAGCCACAGTCTAGGTAGGGTTGGGGGATGTTACCTCCTGCGCCCAGGCCTTAGGGATGTTTAGTAACTAATGTTGTTAGTATTGGCGGGGGCGGCCCCTGTGAGCGGCCTCCCCAGCGGCTTCCTGTAGGGGAGCAGGGGCCGCCCCCTCTCCCTTTCCTCCAGGCTCTCTTCCTCCCGCCTCTCCGCCCCGCCCCGTCCCTCCTCTTTCCTCCAAGGAAACTTTCCGCCGGCTGGTCCATCGGCGTGTCCCACCGCACCACAGTGCGAACCGAGGAAGGCGGACGGGGCGGCCCGGCCCAGGTGTATGCAGCCACCGGGGAGTCGCAACTGCCGGGGGCAGGCAGCGGGGCGCTGACGGGTGAGCGAGCAGGGCCGAGATCCCGCTGGCGGAGGGGTGCAGGAGGGAGGCGACCGGGGAGCCCGAGGCACCGCCTCGTCCTTCCGTGCGCTGGGCCTCGCCTAGGGACCCCACGAGGGGGCGGAGCGTGCGCGGCCTCTCTGCCGCTACCCGGGATGCAGGGGCGTCTGCGGGGAAGCAAGGACTCTATCTAGCAGAGCCCAGATCTGCGACCAGATGGGAACTGCTCTCCCCCCAGGGTGGAGGAGCTGCCCGAGGAGTGAGCGTCTCAGGCCTTAGAGGACCTGACCTGGCCGACCTTGCAGGCTGACGGGCCGAGCTGCGTCCCTGGACCATGGATGCCCCAAGGAAGGACATGGAGCTATTCAGCAACAGCCTGGCGGCCTATGCACACATCCGAGGTGAGGGCCAGGCCTGGAAACACGGAGCCCGTCCATCATAACCCAGGCAGCCCTCTACTCCCAGCTGCTCACCCCCAGTCCTATCCCCAGATTACTGTCCCCTACTGCCCTTCCGTTCCGTGCCCCAGGCTTAGACCCTGGATCTCTCCCAGATGGGACGACTCCAGCCTATCAGGCCCCCCTGTGACCTTCGCTCCCTGCTCCCTAGCTAACCCCGAGAGCTTCGGCCTCTACTTCGTGCTCGGCGTCTGCTTCGGTCTGCTGCTGACCTTGTGCCTGCTAGTCATCAGCATCTCCTGCGCACCTCGCTCGCGGCCCCGGACCCCTGCCCCGCGACGGGGCCCTCGCAGCAGCACCCTAGAGCCGGAAGATGACGATGACGACGAGGATGAAGACACCATGACGAGGCTGGGCCCTGACGACACGCTCCCGGGCCAGGAGCTGTCCACTGAGCCCGACGGGCCCCTTAGTGTCAATGTCTTCACGTCAGCAGAAGAGCTGGAGCGGGCACAGCGGCTGGAGGAGCGCGAGCGAATCCTGCGGGAGATCTGGCGCACCGGGCAGCCAGACCTGCTGGGTACCGGCACGCTCGGGCCCGGAGCCCCAGCCCCAGGCACGCTGGGCCGTATGCACTATTATTGACACACGAACCGCAGAACCGCACACAGCATGGGACCCAGAGTACTGGACACGGGGCTGAGCCCAGTGCTGCCCCAGAGCCTTCGAACTGCCTGTGCCCCCATTTTCTGGTGCTGTTGGGTGTGGGCCGCTGCCTGCTAAGCACTCTTCACTGGGCAGGTGTGGGTGGGAAAAGGATGCCCGGTCCCACCCTCTCCTCCGGTAATAATGAATGACCAATGAAAGCTAGTTTCAGCGACTCGGTCTCTCATTTAGTCACCACTGTTTTCAGCAGCCCCCCACCCCCAGGCTCCGGCCTGGTAGGGGAGTCCCGGGGCTGTGGGTGTCACTGCTTTTGCGGGTTGCACCCTCTCTGGGGAGCCGTCCAGTGCATGCCTGTGCTCACTTCACAGACCAAAGAACCAGGCCGAGACACGCCTCTTGCACTCGTACACAGGACGGGTATTCCAGGCATTCCTCACAAATGTTACTTACTGTCCAACGCTTGGACAAATGTCACCTAGTCCCCTACCCTATGACCTACCCTGGGATGTCACTGCGATCATACAGGGAAGCCTCAGGCTAATTCTATTAGACTTAGTGCCTGAGCAAAACCAGGAGTTCGCTTCTGAGCATCATTCCAAATGAGTGGACACAGAAGCCCCTTAGGGAAGACGCTAAGTGGGAGGAGCTGGACCCAGAGAAGGCTGCCTCCACCCCTTTAGTGCACAGCTGGGTTCCCAAACCCAGGAAGGTCTGGGCCCCTCCACCCAGCATCCAGCACGGAGCTGGCGTCCGAAGGAGACTACCCCTGCCCCCAACCATCCGGTGGATAAAAATAGCCTTGCATAGGCCTTGAGAATGGTAATGGGAGCCACATGTTGGCCAGATGTGCCCCGGAGAGAGAGTGCCAGGAATGCGGAGGGCGGTGTGCTGGCCGGCCCCGCCCCACATGGACTAAGAGTTCAGAGTTTTTACTTCCTTGGAGTTTCTCAAAGTTGTGTGTAAGGACCAGGGTGGCCCGAGCAGGATGGACATCCCTCCAGGTCGGGGTGAGGTTCCGCCTGATCCCGCCCTCATTCCGTCTGTGTTTCTGTCTGTACCTGCGCGTGTTTGAAGGACTTCTGGGTCCTCTGCATGAACTGAACCTAGTCGGGAGAGGGCATTAGAGACCGGAGCCACTGGCCATTGCCCTCCCCGCCTGGGTCCGCATTTCACCCACCTCCAGCGACTGGAGCTTCTCTTTCTCGGTCTTCAGCTCCTCCCAAACGTCGCTCATCTTCTGTCTGTGGATACCGGGTTCCGGTGAGACACTGGACCTTCACCCTTTGTCTCCCGCCCCACCTCACCGCATTACTGCCCACTTACTCCAGCTTCAACTCCAGAAGCTCTAGCGCGCTCCTTAACGACCCCACCTCTTCCTTTAATGATGCGACATCCACGCTGCCACTCTTGCTTTTGGAAGAGGATGGTGGGACCAGGGATGAAGTGTGGGGGATTCTTCAGGATCCAGAATCTGCTTGATAGAGACTGGCTCTTTAGGAGGCGCCTGCTGTGGGGAGCCCTCCCCTTCAGAAGGCAGCTTTTCGTTGGGGAGTGTCTCTTTCAGGGTTGTCTCATCTTTGGCTGGTGGAAAGGTGGCCTCCACGGCAGACTCATCCTTAGCCCTGGAATGGGCTAGGGAGCTGTCCCCATGGCTCATCTTAGAGCAACACCACCCCTCTGAGTCAGACTGTTGAGAGTTCTCCCCTGGCACCTCGATGTCATTTGGAGATGCAAGAGACTCAGAAGCCTGTGTGGTTTCTTCCTGAGGCAAACGCTGCCACTGAGTGTTGTCTCTAAAAGGGTCCTCTTCAAAAAGCACGTTCTCTGGGGACAGGATCTTTATTAGTACAGGGGCACTGTCAGCATGAAGGGCTGTCTTCAGGTCAACGGTTTCATCCTTAGTTGGGGCCTCCAGGGCAGGGGCCTCATCTTCTGTAGTGACAGCCTTGTCCACAGTGGTATTCTTTGCAGTGGGAATTTTGTCAGAATCCAGGGCTTTCTCTGGAGTGGAGACTTTGTAGGGAGCTGGGATCTTTTCTGGGCCAAGGGTCTTATCTGCAGTGGGGGTTTTATTTGTGGAGGTGGCCTTCCGAGGTCTTCTCTGTTCATCTTTCTGTGGTGATGGCAGGGATGGAGGGGTCTCAGTTGGAAGTTGGATACCTTGCTCCCCTGGGGATCTTTCACCCTTGTACAACACACCTGTGGTTACCATCTCCCAGCAATGCCTTCTCCCATGTACCTGGCCCCTCACCTGACTGAATACAGAATGCTGTTGGTAAGCCTGATTTCTGGTTTGCTTTCGCCCAGGTAGTCTGGGCCCTCCATTGAGGAAGCTGCCATGGAAGCCTATGGGAGGTAGAACTTCAGAGACCCAAGCTTATCGTGATTCCTCAACATCACCCCCATCCCTGCTTCTACTGTAGGAAGGGAGCCCTTACCAGAGTCACGGAAGGGGCGTTTCTGGCTGTCCCCACTGAGTGTCGGAGATATCCTGAAACATACCTCCATCAGTAACACCAGAGGGGCAGAAGGGGTATCTCCTCTGTACCTCCCTCCCTCCTCCCCAACGTACCTGTACCTCCTCCCCAATGCCCCCTGCCTTCCCCTCCCCAATGCCCCTGTCTTCCTTACTTGGCTTTGTTAGGTGCAGAGGCAGCTGCTGCCAGCCTCTTGATAGAGGGTAGGGATGTTTTGGGCATCAGCTTGTTTGGTTCCTTAACAGGAGCTGGGAGGAGAGAGAGGAGTAATGTCCGTCTGCCTAAGTTGTTGGCCATGTATGTCTTGTGCTGTGCACAGAAGCCTGACTTTGTGAATTCCATCTGACTTTGGAAGATCACACTGGGCTTAGGGAACTGTGGAGCACCCCAAAGGACCACATAGCAAATAGGTATCAGGGAAGGCTTTGTGGGGGAAATAGCTCTCTATTTTGCCAGGTTTTTCTTTTTTTAAGATTTATTTATTATTTTATGTATATGAGTGGTCTATCTACATGTCTGCCTTTATGCCAGAAGAGGACATCAGATCCCACTATAGATGGCTGTGAGCCACCATGTGGATGCTGGGAAGTGAAGTCAGCTGGTGCTCTTACCCACCGAGCCATCTCTCGGAACTCCTGCCTGGTTTTGACCCACTCTTTGAAGACCTGGTCCCTGCTTGGTACCCATAACGAACGAATTCCTGATTTAGTCCTCATTTCTTTTTGGACCCCAATAACCCCTAACACACACACACACACACACACACACACACGCACGCACGCACGCACGACGCACGCACGCACGCACATACACACACACTCTTTTTTCCCAAGACAGGGTCTTACTTTTTAGCTCTGGCTGCCCTGGAACTCACTATGTAGACCAGGGTGACCCCCAAATGCACAGAGACCTGCCTCTGCCTCCCTAGTGCCAGTATTAAAGGCATTCACCACTATATCCAGATTTAATTCCCCCTTCCTAATCTTACTTTAGCTATCACAGCTTTTAAGTGCTCTCACCCCGTCTTAAGGGTTTAATCATCAATAAATCAATGACTCCCACATCACCCTCTGTGACACTGTGAGCACTGTCATGTCCAGCTGCCTTCTCACAAGGTCATGAGCTCACAGGATGACTATGGCACAGGGACTGAGTCCCAAACACAGTTCATTTTGGAGAGCCACCAGCACGTACAGCGTGGCATCTAGATACAAGTCCCAGCTCCCTCACTTCTACTGATCCCAGGCCCCCCTACTCAGCTGCATGCATAAGGCGATGAAAAGCTCTCTTAGATGTGTTTGGTTTTTGCTTTTGTTTTTTTGAGACAGGGTTACTCTGTGTAACAGCCCTGGTTGTCCTGGACTCGCTCTGTAGACCAGGCTGGCCTTGAATACAGAGATTCACCTGCCTCTGCCTCCCAAGTGCTGGGATTAAAGGCATGCACCACCACTTTCCAGCACAATTTTTAATTTTTAAGTAACCTTAATATCTGTGTGTGCTCAGAGGCATATATATTTGCATTAGCCCAGGTGTATAGGGCAGGAGAATCATTTATCTCCTTCTGTCACATGAGTATCTGAGGTCAAAAGGCTTGGTATCTTTACTTGCTGAGTCACCTCAACAGCCCTACAGTATACAGTCTTAAATTCGGCGATCTGAATGTCATGGTGCTTGCCAGTAATCCCAGCCTCCAGGAGGTAGAGGTAGTTAGAACTGGCAGTTCAAGGCCAGTCTTGGCTATGTTGTAACACCTGTCTAAAAATAAATATATTTTTTTTGGTTTTATGAGACAGGGTTTCTCTGTATTGTTTTGGAGGCTGTCGGTCCAGCCCCGCCTCGAATTCACACAGATCCACCTGCCTCTGCCTCCGAGTGCTGGGATTAAAGGCGTGCGCCGCTGCCGCCGCCACCACCGCCTCCACCACCCGGCCAAAATAAATATCTTTAAAAAAAAACCAACAGCCTGTCTTGGTGGCGCACACCTTTAATCCCTACACTTGAGAAGCAGAGGAAAGTGGATCTCTGTGAGTAGTGGGCCAGTCTGGTCTACAGTGAGTTCCAGGACAGCCAGGGGTTGTTACATGGAGAAACCCTGTCTCAAAAAACAAACAAACAAACAAAAAAACCCAACAACAAATCCCTAACAAAACGGTCAGAGCAGGCCACATGCAGGTGGCAATGACACTGGAGAGACCTTGGAAGGCCAGCACACACAGTGTCATCCATATCAGCAGACAAAGCCACTCTAACACATGACACACACTGACTGAGGTCTACGACAGCTGTGGTAATAAGTGGTACAGGCTTTGATTATCGGCTTTATTTCTTGCTAGTGGTGTAGGAAGTTGGGCAGGCGAACCCTGTACCCCAGTGTCCTCATCTTGAAGACATGAATAACAGTAAATACCTTGTAGAATTGTGTTGAGGCTTGAGTGACTCAATATATTATGTGCTTAGCAGACAGAACCTAGTACAGTTAACCCTAAACTCTGCTGCTTATTATTTGGCTGACTACCTCCACCTCCTGGAGGCTGGGATTACTGGCAGGCACCATGACATCTGTAGGCCCCTCCCACTAGAGAGCAATATATACTCCTGAGGATAGTTTTCTGACACTTTAAAAGGAATTTAAGAGGGTAGGAGAGGGTCTGAGGCGATGGCTCAGTAGGTAGCTCTTCTAGAGGATCTGGGTTCGATTCCTAGCACCCACGTGACGGAAACACAGCCACCTGTACAGTTCTAGGGAATCTATGGGTACCAGACACAAACATGGTGCACAGACATACACGCAAACAAAACATTCATACAGTTAAAAAAAAGAAAAGTACACAAACAGAGCCAGCCAAGAGTTGGCTCATGCCCTTATTCTTAGCACTTGGAAGGCAAAGGCAGGTAGATCTCTGCGTTCAAGGCCAGTCTGGTCTACAGCCTGAACTCCAGGACAGTCAGGGCTACACAAAGAAACCCTGTCAAAACAAAACAAAACAAAAAACCCCAGCAGGCAGCAGAGAACTGAGAGGCCAGAAAGTGGTATTGTAGTTTCCTTTCTGTTGCGGTGACAGAAGCCTTGATAAATGCAACACAGGGAGGAAGGGTTTGTCTAGCTTAGAATTCCAGGTCACAGTTTATTACTTCCAGGAAGTCAGGGCAGGAAACTTCAAATCCGCAGACAAGAGCAAAGAGAAAAATAAGTACGAAGATCCTTTCTTGCTGTCTCTCAGCCAGCCTTCTCCTCTTAAGCTGCTCTGAATTCCCTGCCCAGGAACAGGGTAACCCACAACACATTTCTGTGTCAACAGGTGACTCTGCTCTGCCTCCTGAGCTTGGGGCCTGTGAGTTGAAGCAGGGTCCCAAGCCCTGCTCTCTTAGCTTACCAAGAGGCCTAAAGCTCAGCCACCTTACATGACCTTTCCTTAGGAAAGCCAAGTGGCTAGTGAGAATTGGTGTCCCCTGGCTGCTGGCAGAAACAAAATCTAAGTCTCCTAGAAGTCCTTTGGAAGGCCTGCAAGGTTCCCACAGCTAAGGCCAAGCCATGAGCTCATAAAGGTAAGAAACACACACAAAGGTGAGCCTCTGTGAGCAGTCAGCAGACCCTACTGATCTCCCACACACTTGGATCATCAGTGGAGAGCATGACACCACTAGGTAAGAAATATTGGAAACGAAGACTGTATAAGCAACAAAGGATTATCAGGAAGAGCTGGCTATGAAAAGCAAACAGGTGCACACCTTTAATCCCAGCACTCGGGAGGCAGAGGCAGGCGGATCTCTGTGAGTTCGAGGCCAACCCGGTCTACAGAGTAAGAAATCCTGGGGGGGGGGGGCAGGAGGAGAAGATGGGCAGAGGACAAATGAGCGTATCTGTGCCACGACACTGTCCAGGGCAGTGAGGCGATGTGAGAAGCATCTGTGCTTGGTATGGTGTCCCTCTCTGTGGCTGCTCATGCCTTCCCCCAGCACGGCCCACAGAATGGGTCCACCGTGCAGTGTGGGTAACGCTGCAGGTGTGGGTTTGGTGGTTGTGAGGAGCAGCAACTCTGCTGCAGTGAAGGCAGCTCACTCGTGTAACTGCCCCCCAAAACACAACCAACCCCAGAGTAGATGAATAGTACTTCATCGAAACACAAAGCTCTGTGCACCAAAGGACAGCACTAACAAGGACTGACTGGGACTGGAGAGTGCCCAGCAGGTAAGAGCATAGGCTGCTGCTCTTCCCGAGGGGGGGGGGAGGCTTCAATTCCCAGCCTCTACAGGGTGGCTCACAACCATCTGTAACCCCAGTTCCAGGGGATCTGATGCCCTCTTCTGGCCTCCGCAGGTACTGCATGCATGTGGTAAACTGGCAAAATACACACATTTAAAAAAAGGATGACAATGAAATGAAAAGTTAGGGAAAAATTTACAAAATGATTTATTTTATTTATCGTTATTATCATTATCACCATCACCAGAATTTTCTGTGTACTAGGGGTAGAAGCTAGGACCTGCCTCATGCTTGCCAGACAAGGGTTCTATCACACAGCTGTAGCTCCAGGCTTAGCCTTTCATCTAGAACATAAGGAACTCCTGTAACTCAGTAATAAAGAAACTGGAAAGTTCCCACAGAACCAGCAAACGCATGAAAAGCTTCTTAGTGCTGGGTGGTGGCGGCGCACACCTTTAAACCCTGTACTCGGGAGGCGGAGGCAGGGGGTGAGTTTGGGGGCCAGCCTGGTCTACAGAGATAGTTCCAGGATAACCAGGGTCACACAGAAAAGACCTGTCATCAAAAAAACAAAAGCTTCTCAACACCATGGAGCCCCAGAGGAATGCAAATCCAAACTACAAGACACCCTGCTGCCCACCAGCAGGGTTCTAGTGAAGACATTAACAACATCAGTGTGGAGAACCTAAGAACCTCATACACTTGCTGGGAGGAGGTAGGAGGGCCATGAGTTCAAGGTTAGCCTGGAGTAACGGTCTCAAAGGACTGGCACTTGTCTATCACGCACAAAGCCCTGGACCTCCAGCATTGAAATAAAGGTGTGGTGGGGCTGGAGGGATGATTAAGGGATGGAGCACCAGCGGTTCAATACTCAGCATCTACATGGAGGCTCACAATCATCTGCAACTCTAGTTCCAGATGTCAACACCCTCTTCTGGCCTACAGACATATGTGTTGCGCAGACATGCACGCAGGCAAAACACCCATACACATAAAAATAACTAAGCCTTTTTTATTTTCCCTGTGTAGCTCTGGCTGTCCCGGCATTCACTCTGTAGACCAGGATGGTCTCAAAACTCAAAGATCTACCTTCCTCTGCCTCCTGAGTACTGGTATTAAAGGCATGTGTCACCACCACCTCCCAGCTTCAAAATAAGTTTTAAAAGAGAAAGAAAAAAGGTTGGGGGGAGGGAGGGAGGGAGGAAGGAGGAGGAGAGAGAGAGAGAGAGAGAGAGAGAGAGAGAGAGAGAGAGAGAGAGAGAGAGAGAGAGAGAGCTCAGCCAGCAATGCACTTGCCCACTATGCAAGCCTGAGATCTGCGGTAAATCCCCAGCCTACATAGAAAGCACAAGTCTCAAACAGAAGGTGAGGACTGACACCCAAGCCCCCACGCACATGCCATGGCACACACGCACCCGCATCACACACAAACTCACGCATACACAGAGATAAAGTTCTGCTGGTCTCGTTCATAACATTTGGTAAATTAGCGGGGAAACATAGAATCCTTTGAAATGATTCAGATAAACATTTTGGGGAAAATTCAATGCCAATTTTTGATAAGATTCCTAAGTATACAGGCTTGAGATACAGCTCAATGACAGAGCAGTTGCCTAACATCCAAGAGGTGCTGAGTTTAATTCCTCAGTATGAACAAAACCAACCCTAGGTAGAAATAGAATGAGACAGAGAAAACGCTACAGCGTGCTTGAGGGCAAGAGGGAACATTACTTGTGATCAGGCATGTTGGCATAAACCCATAATCATAGTATTTGGGAGGTAAAAGTGGGTGGATTAAGAGTTTGAGGTCGGGCTGGAGAGATGGCTCAGCTGTTAAAGGCTAGGCTCACAACCAAAAAATATAAGAGTAGCCTGGGGCTACATGAAACCCTGTTTCAAAAGAAAATGGATAGAAGCAAGTCATAAATTGAAAACCTGGTCAGACAGATTTTGGGGAGGTAGAGTCTTGCCATGTAGTTCTAGCTGACTTGGAACATACATAAAACAGGTTGATGTCAAACTTGCAGCAACTGTCTCAACCTCCAAAGGTGCTTAAGATTGCAAGCACAGGCCGGGCGTTGGTGGCACATGCCTCTAACCCCAGCACTCAGAAGCAGAGGCAGGTGGATCTCTGTGAGTTCAAGGCCAGCCTGTTCTACAGGCTGCTACCTGACCAGAGGACCCCTCTTCGATGGAGCCAGAGCTACCCCCTCTGACAAATCCTCTCTCCTCAGCAGAAAACAGCTCTGACATCCTTGCCCTTCTTTTTACTCTTTACCTATTTATTATTTGTGACTTGCGATCTTTTTTGTTTTTTGTTCTTGGAGACAGGGTTTCTCTGTGTAGCTTTGGAGCCTGTCCTGGAACTCACTTTGTAGATTAGGCTAGTTTTGAACTCAGAGATCCACCTGCCTCTGCCTCCTGAATGCTGCGATTAAAGGCTTGAGCCACCACCACCCAGACAGCATTTTTTTTATATCCTTTCAGAGTTAGGAATGATAGTTTCCTGTTGAAGAGGGTACAATTCCCAGCTTCCCTTGAGACTTTGAAGTCATTTCTATGACTCTATGTGGGGCACATTCCATCTTCTGTAGGCATTTTGACCATCTGCACGAGATGACAAAGATGCCATCTTGATGTGAACAAACATGATTTTGCCTAAGTTCAGACCAAGTCTCTCTTTCCCCCATCTTACGTCTCTCTCCTCTCTCTCTCTCTCTCTCTCTCTCTCTCCAGCTGCCTTTAATCTACAACAGCAAGCAGTTTACTCCCTGAGACATCTCTCCACCTCAGAATTTATCTTGAAAGTCTTTGAAGCATAGATCCAGGGCTGTGATATAGTGGTAGAGCACTTGCCTAGTTTGTGCAAAGCTCTGGGTTTGATTCTAATAGACACACCACACAGGGTACATGATAGTCACAATGTCAAGAACCACACAGAAACATTAGCATACAAACACAATGGATCTCACATAGGATTCACACAGTTCTTACAAGGACCTTGACATTCCAATAGTGTATTGAACCAATGGGGAACTACAAGTGTTTATGGACAACTAGAAACGGGTGGGTCTCCCATAGAACAGCACTCAAACCCATGCTCCCCGGGCACTCACCTAAATCCCGAGATATAATTTTTCGTGGGACCAGCTTCCTGATCTAGACAAAAAAGAAACATGAGAATCCAAGAAGTCCCAAAACTTCTAGGTACAGCCTCATTTAGGGATGACCCTCTAACTGGGTTTAAGGAGTTCCATAACGCCTGTTTGGTTTTGTGTGTCTGTGTGTCTGTGTGTGTGTGTGTGTACGCGCGTCACCACCACCTAGTTCTGCCTAATTCTTTAAGGTAGAGTCTCCCAAACACAGTGCACAATAATATGGTCTGTTCTGCTTCTCTACCTTCCTGAGGCTGGAAACAGAGAGGCTGCCATGCACATTTGCCATTTAAATGGGTTCTAGTCATCTGAACAAATACTTTTAAGCCTGAGCCACATCTTCTTAGCTTATCCCTGGGTGTTTTTAGAGAGTTCTATATCACTTTATCCAGTGATCCAGCAAATGCCATGATGTCCAACTTTTCTTTTTCCTATCACTTGAGTCAGGGTTTCTCTGTGTGGCCCTGGCTATCCTGAACGTGCTCTATAGACCAGGCTGGCCTCATACTCAGGCATCCGCTTGTCTCTGCCTCCCCAGTGCCACCATACCCTGTTTCCTGACTTTTTTTTAGCATCCTTTCCCCTGTCCTCCAGCGCCCTCAGTACTCACGGGGGGTGGTGGGAGCACGAAGTTGTCGGGAAACAGTCCTCTCCTGCCTTGGCTCTCTCCTTCCCACCAGCCCTTATCCTCTGTTGTCTGGTCGAGAAACAAGCCAGTAGGGAGGTGAGCCTCACTCGAGTTCCCCTTGCCTGGGTCCCACTCCTTCCGTACCCTCTGCACCCCCAATCCCCTCACACCTTCCTTAGAACTTTCACCAGGTCCCCCTTGTGCAGCGCCAACTCATCCGGGGCCTCAGGATGGTAGTCAAACAGGACCCTGCAGGTCTCAGGGCAGGAGACTGAGAGAAAGGCATCCTTCTGTGCAGCCCCCGTCAGTCAGCCAGTGGCCCCCTTCAACAACCTACCTGGTTCCCCTCCCACCAGGCAGGGTGTGGCCTGGCACTGTGGGGACTCTCTGGCTAGATGCTCACCTGTCCGCAGGTAGTCTGGAGGGCTGTCATACGTCAAGCTGCTCAGCTGGTAGGAACATAACAAAGGAAGGATAAGTCTGAAGCCATTTTAAGAACTCACTGGCTGTGCCCACCCTGACCCGACTTACTTTAGGAGGCCTTGGTGGATTAGGGATGACTGAAGGCATGTCTGTGTTTCCAAGACCTAGAGAGGGACAATGAGCTTAGGGAGGTACTAATTTAGCTAGGTCCTGGGAGAGGGTCAAAGGGGTCAAAGGGTCAGGAAGATCACTGGGAAGATCACGGAAGAGTTGCAGAGTCTGGTCCCAGGGGATCACAGGGTCACGGTCTCACTTGGGGGCCCACTGTCCAGCAATTCCACAAAGTTGGATGGGAAGGCTCCCAACTGCCCGTTCTTCTTCCCCAGCCACCAGCCGTCCTCAATCTGGGGAGGGGGAAGGATGAGGGTGCATCTGGTTCTGTGCAAGAGTCACTAGAGTATCAACCCTCGGTTCTGCCCAAGGATCGCCTCCTCCCCTGCTGCCGCCCTTCCCATCGCCCCCACCCTCACGTCACTCTCTTCTGTCTGAGAAGAGCTCTAGCATCTCTCCGGGTCCTCTCATCATCCTACCCTCACCTCCTTTATCACTTCCACAATCTCCCCAGTTTGAAGCTTTAGCTCGTCTGCCTGCTCTGGACTGTAGTTGAAGTTCACTTTGCACCATCTTTGAGGGCCCTGAGAGTTGACGGGGCGACCTAGGCCAGACAAGCAGGGGAGCAGCTCGAGCAGGTGGCCCTGTTCACAGTACTAGGGAAGGGGTGGACCCCCAAGCTCGCCCTTAAGTAGCTTCAAGCCCCGCCCTCTAGCGGAGCATTGTACCTGGAGCCAATCAGGGAGCGGCACAGTAGGGTCACGGCCCCTCCCACCATCGTCACGCTCCCCGCAGGAAGAGAGCCCCCCCACCCGCCAGCTCGGCGCCCCGACTCACCGCGGCTGCGCACACAGCGTGGTCTGGGTTCAGTGATGCCCCACAGGGCCTCGGGAATCTCCTGGGAAGATCACGCAGGGGCGGTACTCAGCAGAAGGCCCGGAGCCGGCCGGGCCTGTGCCCCACAGGGTGCCACCCGTACCAGGCCTCACCTGCACCAGGTTCTTGGGAAAGAGACCGCGGCGGCCCCGCAGATCCCCATGCAGCCAGCCCCGGGCTGCCCCGGCGCAAACCTGCCGGACCACGTCTCCTGGCGCCAGGCTCAGTTCGTCCTCCGTCTGCGCACGGTATCTGGCCAGGGCCAGGACCTCTGCGGGCCGAGGGCAGGCTAAGTAAAAGGCTGGAGGTACGTCCCTGACATTCAGAAGAGCCACCCCAAGACCCGCACACATACCCATAACTTCTGAGGACCCCTGCACAGCCCGGCGATCGGGCTGATGGCCGAGTATTGGGAGCGCAGAGGGCGTGCTGGGTCGCCGGGCTGTAGACTGGATGAGGCGGGGACTCAAGTCATAGGTCAGGTTCCAGGTATTAGGAGTGGGCGGCCTGGCTCAGCAGGTTGGGCCCCAATTCCAGGACAAGTCTTCATGCAGGGTCTCAGCTCAGTGCTAGGGTAACAGCTCCTCCAAGTGCTCTTCTGCGACTACTAAACTCTACTTTGGCCAAGTCTCCCAACCGAGGCAAGACTTGATGTCTTTTATATATTTCCTGGCCCACCCTCTACTGGCTCGCCAAGATCTTAGCTGCAGGGGAAGGTGGAGAGAGGTACATACCAGGGCGGGGCCACTCTAGAGAAAGCACCCCAGGAGGAGAAAGTGGTGGCTCCTGTCTCTTGAAAAGCTATGGCCTACCAGTATATTCCCAACTTTAAAACCCCACTGGTGGGAGCTTTGATTCATTTGAGTGCCTTGTTGAGTTTCTGACAGTTATTACAGATTCTCCTTGAGGGAAGGCAGTAAGAACCTTACTTAATAAGTCTATTCAAGCCCAGGACTGGCAAGAGTCTGAAGGTTAGGGCCCACCCACCCCCGTGCTACCAGTTGGGATTGGCTGGCTTGTAAACAGTCTTCGTGCAGGGTGAATATACAAAGGCCGAGCTACTTGACTGCAACCTTGACCCCTGCCTCACCACCAAGGAGGCCAAAGTCCTTGCTCTTGATTGTAGTGAGCTGGTTCTGGGATACTAAAAGCAGAGACTCCACTGAGAACAAGAGGTATGTCTTCCCAGAGAAGGAAGAGCAGATTATGGGCTAGGGCACAGCTGTGTGGGCTTCCTGAAACTTCTGTAGGAGGTACCTACCACCCCAGGTGCAGGTGTGAGGACAGTGAACACAGTCCATTTACATCTGTCACTTCATTTATTGTTTTTATTTGCAGGAGGAGTTGAAACAAAAACTTAAGGGTGTTTTTCTTTTCTTCCCTAAACACGAATCATTCAAGTAAAACCAACTTAACTATAGAAATTAGCAAAGTAAGGGGAAGTAGCAACAACCCAAGAGCAAAGGCTGGGAAGAAGAGGGTGCAGTCGGCATAGAACATAAGCAACCAATACCGCGGTTCACCTGCTCGGGACCCTCCCCTCAAGGCAGCAAGCACAAGGACCCTTTCATGAGAATGCCCCAAACATCTGAAAATGTTTCAACTCAGAACCTAAGGTTAAGAAACCCAAAAACACACAACCCCACAAACCACCCAGCCATAACCACCATCCTTAATCAATCATAGGAGTTTCTTTTCATTTTATAAAAAGATCAATAAAAAATATTGAAAAATTATTTTCTCATCTTCTATTTGTAAAGATAATAGAATTCAGAAGTCTCTTAGAAAACAGACCAGAAACTGCCCTCCAGTTTCCACTCCTTCTGCTGAGGACCAGCAGGGCTACAAAGTTTAGGATACCGGAGCTGCTGGTGGAAAATGGGAAGCCCAGCCCAGGAGAAATCAGACAAGAGCAGGGTGCATGGGGAGGCTGGGAGCGACTCCATGTGAGCATGGCTGTGCAGAAAGGGGAACACAAGGTGGTTGGAAAGGCCTTAAACTCCTCCGTGACATACAAAGCCGGTTTTTACAAAGACCCAAGCAGTTTGGTCCCAAACTGAGGCGAACACTTCAATGTTTATTCACATGCTTTGTTTTCTTTTAAGAATCAAAGTTGCCCAAATTAAATCTTTCTGCTAATGTTACTACATATCCATTAAGAAGGAAAAAAAAAAAAAAAGAAAAAGCAAAGAAAAATATAAGGGCTTTTTAAAAATCAGGACAGGAAAAGGCTGATAACCAAGTTCATTCTCTTAGCTCCAAATAAAGAAAACTTGGTTTCTAATAGGGGAAAAACAAAAACAAACAGAAGAACAAATCCAAGCATCAGCATCATTTTCCCTACCCTGCCCCCACCCCACCCCAACAACAAACAACAAACAGCGGGAGCCCAGTGTGCTGTGGTCTGCTTAAAACATGGGCCTGATCCTAGGCTCTGTGGCCAGCATCCTCTGTCCCGTGAGACAGCACCAGGGATGTGTACTCTGCTGTTGTAGGTTCTGGGTAGCTGGCGGGTTGTGGGGTGAGATTTGCAGGGTCTTCTTGAGGCTCCCTGTTTAGCTCCACCAGCCTCTCCCAGTGCCTTTCTCCCCTGGGCAAGGGCTCCATCAAGAGTGGCCCTTATTCAGCTGTGGGCTGTAAACTGTCCTTCTCTTCTCTGTTCTCTGTCCCACTCTCATCATCTTCAATTTCTCCTTCCTCTCCACTGAACTTGTCGTGGGCCCACTTGGGACTGGTACTGGATTTCCGGAACATGAACCGGCCCCGGCCCCGGGGGAAGGCTCCTCGGCCACGGCCACGGCTCATCCACTTGTCACTGCCTTCACCTTCCCGGTCATCATGCTGCAAGGAAGAGAACTGGCATCAGTGCTAGAGCTCTGTCTCTGTACCAATCCACACAGAAAAGGCGAGCCTTCTGTCCTTCGCCCATTCTATTCAAAACTGGCACAGGCTCAGATCCAAGAGCACCACTGGGGTACCTAAGGAACTCTACAGCAATTGTGTGGACATTACAATAACAGTATTGGAGTAAACAGAAAATTTTGACAAAGCACAAAAACAAAAGCATCAGTTTAGGGTTTGGAGAGGTAGCTTAGTGGTTAAGAGCCCTGGCTGCTCTTCCAGAGGTACTGAGTTCAAATCCCAGCACCCACATGGTGGTTCACAACCATCTATAGTGGGATCTGTTGCCCTCTTTTGATGTGTAGGCATAATGCAGGTAGAACGCTGTATACATAATAAATGAAAAAAAAGAACAAAGAAAGAAAAAAGCCAGAGGGTAATGGTGCACACCTTTAATCCCAGCAATCTAGAGCGGCAGGAGACCTTTGTTGAGTTCCAGGCCAGCCTGGTCTACAAAGTAAATTGCAAGACAGGGTTCAAAGCTACAGGAGACCTTGTCTCAACCCCACCTCCCCAAAAGAGAGGCACCAGCTCATTTAACCCTCTTATCTACCCTGCCACTCTCGCTGCTGTGTAACTATTATTATTTACAATACCATCTCTCTCTCTTTAAAAATTATTCAACTTTTATATGCATTAGTCGGTGTTTTTAAGCCTGCATGTATGTCTGTGTGAGTTTGAGATCCCCTGGAACTGAAGTTCAGACAGTTGTGAGCTGCCCTGCATATGTTGGGAATTGAACTGAGGTCCTCTGGAAGAGCAGTCAGTTCTCTTAACTGCTGAGCTATCTCTCCAGCCCGAGAACACCATTTCTCAAAGGAAGAATCTAGAAAGTCGATCTAACATGCAAAATGGAACCGGGCCATGAAACAAGGACCAGCACATAAAAGACATACTTGGGGCTCCATCCAGCACTTTCCAAACCTCTTACCCCAGGCTGCCCTCTTATAGTGCACCTCCTCTTCAGTAATATGAAGGAGGCAGTGTGTCACATGAGGAAAAACAGCCTACATCTTCAACAATCCCTGTTCTGACAGTCTCCATAGCAGAAATATAGCAAGAGTGAATGAGTGAAGCATTCCGAAAACCCGCAGTAGCAACTTCTTCTGTCTAATGATAGACTGACTAGCTTCAGTTTAAGCCATCCACTTACAGAAGCCAGTCTAAGCCAGTCTAGGCTCCTGAAATTAGTTTGGCTGACTGCTAGCTGCTTCTGTACAAGGTTGCAGTGCCACAATGACCAGATGAGACTGGCAATGCTGGTGGCAAACAGAAGCAGCAGAGAAGCTCCCTCTAGAAGCTTCAAATTGACTCCCAATAGTTAGGCACAACCCCCAGGAAACACACGGGCTTGCTGAATCACAGCAAGGCCAAGAAAGTTACTGACCAGGTAATAGCCCAGGAGCATGGGAACGACTCACAACATAGGTAAGAGGAAAAACCTCAATGGCATTTCATTATGGCAACCGATCTTTTTCTTTCCTCAAACAGTTCTAGAGCTGTTTTCCTGTCAATCTAGTAGTAAAAGGTGACAGGTTGGGAGCGAGTGAGGAGTTAAAATTCAGGAGATAAGAAAAGCCAAGTAACATTTCTTGCTTATTCTGGAATCCATAAGCAGCTCAGAAGATAAACCACATCAGAAGCCAGGTAGTGGTAGCTCATGCCTTAAATCTCGGGAGACAGAGGCAGGAGGATCTCTGTAAGTATGAGACCAGCCTGGTCTACAAGAGCTAGTTCCAGGACTGCCCCCAAAGCCACAGAGAAAACCCTGTCTCGAGAAACAGATAAATAAAAGCACCCCAAAAAAACCCTGTATCAGAACCAAAACTGACTCTCCAGAGAAGAGACATCTACCTAGCGCTATAGGAACACATTCACAGTGCTCTAACCCTGTACACAAATTTAACAAGGTTAGATAGCTCAATTAAAGCCTTCAAAGCTACTGTGTGTCAAAGGCCCTTCCTGGTTAGTTCCAGACACATACCAAGTAATACTTCTTGCTTTTGGGTGTATACTCCGGATCCCATTCCTCTTCCCGGCTTCTCTTTTGAAAATCATTGTTGCTGTTGTTGTTATTGTTACCAGAATAGTTTCCTCTACCCCAACCTCTCCCTCTTGCTCGAAATTGCTGTATAAATAAATGAAGCAAAAGGAACAAGGTCCATGTCAGTAGTTAAACTAGTCACTTTCTTTTCTACACACACACACGCACACGCACGCACGCACGCACGCTTTCCTTCAAGCAAGATCCAAGGTAATGGGGGAAGTTCTAGGATGAGAAGCTATAAAAGGCTTGGGAAGTGATTATAAACAAAGAAACAAGTGAACAAAGAAGCTGAGGGAACCAAAGAATATTGAGTCTACAACTGGCTTCCTTAGACCAGAGGAAAAAGGAGTGGTGTCCTACTGAAGTCTAGCCAGGACTAGAATGAGCCTGAGGCTTAGAGGAAGAGGGAGGGCAGCCCTTACAAAGGTTCCCCGAGCTCTGCCGCCTCTTTCATTTGGACCCACGAAGTCTTTGGTCCCCAGTCTGGATTTGTCAAAACCCGTGGTGCTCTCCTCCCTCTCCTCTGCTTCCTCGGGGTACTCCTCTGCTTTGTAGGAGTGAGACGACTGGGAGGAGGAAGAGGAGGACCTAGACCGGTCTCTTGCTCTTCGGTGCTTCCTACATGGAGAAGAAGAAGGAAATCAAGACTGGTCCTGGAAGACTCATAGATAAAACTACCAAGCAACCAGGTTATCAACAACCTGTTTGTCCCAACCCACCCAGCAGACCCAGGGCTTCCTCAGGGTTCTGTGAGTCATTTATAGTAATAAATCTGTTTCTGAGCTTGTGATATGTATCAAACATACAGAACATAAATAATCATGGCCTCCAGTATCAGTCTAACATGTGAACCAACAGAGAAGGGGAGTGAGAAACACTGGCTGGCTGACACTACAGCAAAACTCTTTGTTAGTGTGCCGTCACTCCTAGCACTCAAGGAAATGCTGTTTTTCAGGCAGGCACAAGACTCTAAGATGAAATTAAATGTCTAAACACCTTACTGATAAAACAAGTATTCAACAAAGTGACCAGAGAATCCCACATTCAGTTTATAGGTGACAAGAGCTGAGTAGAGTCTGGATTCAAACCCAGCTCTAATTAGCCCATTAACTATACAACCACCTCCTACTGACCTCAAACAGGGTTTTCTTAAGCCTAGAATCCCCAGAAACTCTTCCTGGCATCCTATCTCTTCCTTTCCCTTCATCTGGGGGAAATTACAGACTAGACAAATTAAATTATGATGACTCATCGTCTAT